CTTTTTTTAAAATATTCATACTGAAGTGTAAAAAATAAATTCCTTCTCTCAATTGATGAAAATATTGAAAATAAAAACTGATGTACAATGTAAACAGGCAATTTTAAATTTGTATAACTAATTACATAGTTTATATAGTCTATTAATTTTTTTAAATATCACTTGTTAAGTCCTTTTATTTAAACAAATGTAAAATTTATTGAGGTTGGTATAATATGAAATTCAGTATAATTTTCTTTTATTTCATTTTTTTTTTTTACATTTTCAATTTTGGTCAGTTTTTATATCCTTACCAAATTATTAATAAAGTTTTTGTATTTTTAATCATAATTCAAAGTTTTAAAAGATTTTAATTAAAACATCAAAATTGATTAGCATTTTAAATTTTTACATATTAAATTTAATTTTAGCAATTTAACTGATGATGACTACATAAAAGTATAATGAAAATTTAAAAAAAAAATAGGATTACTGTGATAATATACTAATAATACTATGGTAAAGACATTAGTTAAAAATATGACTAAAAATCATCTTTTAATATTTACTGGCATTTAAAAAGATTTTTTTGTGTTTCTGTTTTCATATTTTTAAAACACACACACACACTACACATAGTGTGTGTGTATATATATATATATATATATATATATATATATATATATATAGTCAAGCTAAAATGAATTATGGTAACTTGTCTGCTAAGTTTATTTTCTCCTTACAGTTTGTGAGTGTGAGTGCTAGGATTTCTAAGTGTGTGTGTGTGTTTTATTTTTTATTATGCAAAAAAGGGCTCTACTACACCTATGTGCAAGAGCTATTATGAAGAGGTGAAAGTAACTCATGAGCTGAAAGGTAAAAGTGGACTGGCCAATCAGTTACTATGATCAGTTTTAGCTTGATCTTAGATTACTATTTTTTTTATTAAAGCATTGATCACTTTTCTTATTTATTACATGATTTATGATAAAATGTAAACATTTTATTTTAACATTCAGGCCAGTAGAGGAAATAAATACTGTTTAAAATATAACAGAATGTCTACTCAAATGTGGGTTTCTACTAAAAATAATGTTTGATTTCATAAAAAGATGTTGGATTAAAAAAAAAAAAAATGGAATGAATTCTTTAGAAATGGCTTTGTTTATGTTTTGGATATGAAACTCAGCAGATATGTTTTTTTTTTATTCAGAAATCAGAATAAGTGAGGTTACTTTAAAGGCAAATAGAACTTTGCTTGACTGTCAAGCCCTTTATAGCCAAGTGGTTAAAGCACACCAGATCAGACAGTGGTTTCTCATGCAAAGCAGGGACACACGTTTGAATCCTGATGGAAGGCATATTTTCTTTAATAGGTTTTCTCAAGTGAGATGCTTAGTATATGAAATAAATGCTGTTGATGGAGTATGGTATCCACTAAAAATAATGTTTGAAGTAATGTGTGCGTATGTGTATATATGTCTGATTGAATAAGTTACAAACATTATGTCTGCTTATTTTGATCATAATACTTTATATTCATGAATATTTTTCTGTATATTACAATCAAACGAGGCAAAAAATGCACTGTAACAGTGAGAATCACTTTTATTAACTAAGTTCTTTCCATCTGTTTTTAAAATCATCAGGGGTGCAAAGTACTTGGGTAATAAAAGTTCTCACTGTTACAGTGCATTTTTGCCTCATTTAATTGTAACATTTGTGAATATGAAAGGATTATGATCAAAATAAGCAGACATAATGTTTGTAACTTATTCAATCAGACATGCTTGAAAGAGAATTTGCTGCTTAAATGCACACACACACACACACACACACACACACACACACACACACACACACACACACTTGTCAGATATTCGGCCCAGTAGATGTAAATAAATAAATATGCTCTTTAATAAATAAATAAATTAGAAAAATCTGTCAGATTTAATCCATTTCCTAAAAATTTGTCTTTGTTTGCGTTAGAATACAGAACAGAGCAGATGTGAATATTTCAGGAGGAAACCACTATTTGGGTTTTATTTGATCAGGAGGTCCTACATGGCTGCATTGGTCTAAGGCATGTCAGATCTCAAGATGGTTTCCCCACCTAGGGTACATAGGTTTGGATCTTGCTGAAGGGCACATATTTTCCTAATATCTCAAATATTCCGGCCGGTAGATGTAAATCAATAAAAACAGAGCATCTACTCAAATATGAGCATCCATTTAAAAAATAATCTTTAAACAAATAAAATAAATTCTTTTGGATTTGATTATGTACATGTGCAAAGTTAGGGAAAACATGCAATGTAATACTGATTGGAGTGTTAAAAGTGACCTAATGAAACTCCTGTATAATTATCCCATATTATTGGTTTGTTATGATGATAACAACATGCCCATATGTATGTTAGTGTTAATTATCAGCATTTTATCAGTATAAATTGTTTGAATTAAATAACTCTTGTCAGCCTTTAGTTGACATGTAATTATAGGTATCTCTAGGACACCAGTCTGATCTCATATCCTCTTAATCATGTTTGTATGATAGAATAATAACTTTTTTCTAGGGTTTTTTTTTGCATTATTAGTAACAAAATTATAATAGTTTTACTATTATATTAAAATAATTTATTTACATTTGAACTATTTTCCTCATCTTTGTTATCATAATGTTGAAAAGAAATAAATGTAGATTATCAGTTTTTGATTAACAAATTTAATTATTTTTTTTTTAAATTTCAATGTTTTTCATATCCTCCTTTGTAACTTATTTGAAATATTTTAAAAAAATTTAACCGGTTTTTTTTTTTTTATAACCTTTACTTTGAAATGATTTGAGAAACATTTTGGTTGTTTCTTTATTTTGTATTCTGCAGTTTCATTTTCTCAGATATTTCAAGTATTATATTCACATAGAATGCTTTAAGTTGTGTATTTGTTCCTTAATATGTTTTCTACTTTTTTTTTTTTTTAACTGTCATGTTATGTGATATTGTAAAGAGATATTTTTATATATTAATCTTTTTTTCTTGCTTGCTTTCTGTTTTTGTGTCTTTTTATCAATTTTTAACAGTGGAAGTGCAGGTGAAAATATTTTATGTGTTGTCAGTATGCTTATATGATAAAAATGTTGCTTTGTATGCTAACTAATCTTTTATTATATTCAAATCTGGATTAATGTTTATTGACATTATGTTGGACAAAAAAAATTTGATTCCATGTTTAAAGAAAAGAAAGATGCTTCAGGTTCTATTAAAAACTTATGCTGTTCTTTTAAATGTTATATTAAGAGGGACAAATGGAGATATTTTTGGAAAAAGAATTATCTTGTATTCATTTTTATCTTTTGTCAAAAAACAAAACAAAAAAACAATTTGTGTGACACTATCATTGTTCTCTTGTCTCTCTCTCTCTTTTTTTTTTTTAATTTTTTTTTGAAACTTTTGTTGGATCATCTCTGCTCCATCTGCAAAAAGAAATCTAATTGCCAGATTTGATTGATGTTTCATTTTTTTTTAAATATAAATTCATTCTGAATTATTAAAATTAGTGAGAAGTACATTAAGAGTTATTTGCTATTTTCTTCTTTTTATGTAGATGAAAAAAAAAAGGTTAATTAATGTCTGTCAAAAGAAATAGCCATAAATAAGATTTTCTCACTTTAACTTTTTTGTTTTATAAACTCAGTTATAATGTACTCTAATGCATTTATTTATTTATTTTATTTCTGTGTTATTTTAAAGAAAGAACATTATTTCTAAGTACAAATGAATAACTTTGGAAAGTGGAGGAAAATCAATCATATTACATAAATTGTAAAATATTTTAAGGTTATTCAGAATAAATAAAAGTAGACTATGAATATGGTCATCACATCATGTCACAAGATTGTAGGACACCATATGTACTGCAGCCATAGCAGCAGTGGTGTGTCTATGGTAAATAGCCTGATAGAGCCCATCCCTCTTCAGACTGGGTTTGAATTTGAGTTTTCCTTCTAGACTGGTTACCAACTCAAGGCAAGAAAACAATATTAAACCCATAGCTAGGATAGAGAGAAAAGAGATATTCAAACTTTTCCCAGTACAAAAGAGAACTTAAACTGAGATGGAATTCAAACCCTGTGGTGGGAATGTAATAGTTAGCGACTTGGAAAAATAAATTGGCAAAAAAAAAATGCACAAATATTTTTCAAGAAAAGTTTTTTTTTTTTTTTTTTTTGCAGTTGGTTCATCAGTTCTGTGGATAATCCCCTTTTAGTTGTATATTAGATTGTCAAGATACAATTACATTGCTAATAATAAGTTCAGGCTGATTGATGTTTTTTTATCAGCTGCAGAAAAAGCATTAAAGAAAAATTATGTTTATGTTTGTGGGGATTGAATACATTAAATACTTTTATGAAATAATTGAAGGAGTTAGGAAAATTTCTCCTTTTACTTCATTCCTTTAATTATCATCTGCATTTCAATAGTTTGCTCATCTGATGAAAAAGTTCTTGAAAATTGATACTCATAAAATTCACAGAAAATATTTTACACATTTATATTCTCAACAAGTTGCTTTTCATAGTATATTAATATTGATGTGTAAATCCTACTTACCAATTTATTATTTCAAGTTGAAACTTGAAATTAATGATGAAAACACACATTGATTTTTAACAGTAATCAAAATATTTTAATTTTTTCATAATTTCTATAATTGATGTACCTTTATTATATTTTCTTAAATTGTTTCCTCAATGAAATTGGTATATATTTAAAATTAGCCTGGTGATTTATTTCTTTGCAACATTTGGGCTCATTTTTTAATAATTTCCTTACTTATATCTCTCATAAAGGCTTAAGTTATCTAGGATTGGGAGTGATACACTTCAACCTTTCTTCTACACCCCCCATTAAATTTAAAAATAAGCTCATATTTTATTAAAGATTAATGAAGATATGCAGAAAACTGTGTTTTTAGTTCATTTATGATTGAAACCTCTTTGATTGATTTGTGTATTTCAGGCTCTCCAGCCCAGGCTGCAGTGGCAGAACCCTTGATCAACATCGATGTGTCTCCCACGCCTGAGTCAGCTGGGTCAGCATATCCTAGTCGACGACGGTCAACCGCTTCCAATAACAACAATAGTAAAACACAGGCAACAAACCTCTCCACTGATGTGAGTTTTGCCTCTTCCTTTTTTACTTCCCAAACATGTGTCTTTAGTTTTTATAGAGTAAAATGAATGAATACTATAATTGTGTTATTTGGTTCAAACTCACACACTCATTTTTGTTGTTCTCACAATGTTTAAACAAATTATTTTGAATAATAATTAATGACAGAAGAATGTTGCTTTTGTATGTATATTAAGCTTTATATCATTGATGTTTGGTATGTACATTCTGTCTATGACACTGAAGATGTACATGTACTAATATGTTGAGTATGTTTAAGTATCAGCTAAAAATACTTAAAAAATTTAGTGACTGTAAAAAAGATTTAAATGTATTAAGTGTTTGTGCTGTATTTTAAAACAGATATATATATATAGTTGATATTTAAAAAAAAAACAGTTATCAGATTTATATGTACTAACAGCATGAAGAAAATATCCATTAAAACACTCACTTGACATTACAAAAAAAAGTAGTTATTTCATATTATCTTAATTGTATTCTTTTAATGTTAACTTATATAAACTTCAAATAGGTAAGAAGCTCCTCTCAGCTGAATTCTGCTGCTAAATTTATTGTTTTAAATATTTTGTACTAATGTATTATTATGAAATATTATTAATGTATTATTAATTGTGCTAATGTATTATTATTTAACCCTTCAATTTATTACATCATGATATGACATTGCATTTTTATTACTCAACTCATTCTAGATTATTCTCTTAATTTAAAGCAAGCAATTTATTAAGCAAACAGTATTTATTGCGTATTTTTTAAAATGTCTTTTTTGATAATTACACCTATCTTGAAAAATAAAATCTTACTTGTTACATTATTAATGGCAAAGTAGATAAATTATATATATTTGCAATTACTTAGGAGTCTCTTTTTGGTTATGGGTAACAGAAATCTTTTTGAGTCCTTTAGTAAAACACTTTTCATCATAAAGAAGACAGTAAGATTAATTAATTGCAAAACAGTTTAAAAATTAAAATAGGTATAAAGGTATCTGTAATAAATACCTATTCCAAAGCATACAGTATTTTTGATTACTAAATCTAATTCTTTGGTGACAGTACAGCATTTTGGCATACATACAAATTGTATGTTCTGATTTTGTTTTATTCTGTTTTTTGAACCAGAGGATCAGGAAAAACTGAATTAATTTGAATCTTTTGACTTGCTTATCCACCTCAGTCATGTAAGAACAATGGTTAAAATTGTAATGAATTTTTGGACTGTAATCTTTCTCATAGAATTACATATTGGCTCATTAGTTAAGACTGTATATCTGCTATTTTGATTTTTCTTCAATATCTCAAAAATCTTCCAAAAGTTATCCTTATGTTGCACTTGTTTTAAACCTTTTAAAAATATATATTTTTATCTATAGCACATTGTTTTTAAAAGTTTTTAAAGATAGATTTTTGTATGGACATATTGGAAATATTGGATAATTTATCTCTTGTCAACTCAAGTATCTTTTTAGTCATTTGAATATGAATAGTTTTGTTTTGTACATTTCCCTTTTAATTGTATCTTTTTACTACTAAAGATGTAAGAATTTGGAAGACAACTTCTACAATAATGAGTATTTGTTATCTATTGCTTACTTTTGATAAATATTTAAAGAAACTTGAGAAAACTAAATTAATTTTGCAGTCATAAAACAAAAGAAAAAAAAATTATAAAAGTGGAATAAGGCTAAATGTTTCTTCATTGCAGTGTGAATATATTATTATCTTTTCATCATCATCATCATCATCATCATCATCATCATCATCATCATCAATAATAGCATCATCAACAACAACAATAGCATCAACAACAACAACAATAGCAACAACAACAACAATAATAGCATCAACAACAACAACAATAATAGCATCAACAACAACAATAATAGCATCAACAACAACAATAATAGCAACAACAACAACAATAATAGCATCAACAACAACAACAATAATAGCATCAACAACAACAATAATAGCATCAACAACAATAATAATAGCATCTTTTTAATGATTTCCAATAAACAATCAATATCTTAATTCACTTTATCTCTTATAATTACTGATTATTATTTGTGAGGCATGAAACATGAGCATTCATTCATCTCTTGATCTATTATAAAGAACTCTTCCCCAAAGTTTGTAAAAGTTTATTGTATTCAGTTCATGCAGAGAACAGGTGTAATGAAATCATTTGTAAAGAAAACATTACAGAATTGCCTGTGTGTGTATGTGTTCAAATGATAAGAGGTAGAAGGTAAAGAGAAAAGATATTGAACTATTTGTTACTTCTAGATAGAAAAGAGAACATACATGGATGTTCATTCTATATTCAACTAACAAACTAGCAGTTAATTATGCAAAGTAAATATCAAAAATAAATTTGTTTGCACACACACTGGAAGTAGTTAATTTGAATTTAGGGTAGCAGATAGAATAAACATATCATTTAAATTTGGTTGGATACAAATTATTTATATGCTATTTGCATCAGTATGAAGTTAACTGCTTATATTTACAAATTTGTTGATATTAGAGAAGAAGAAAAATTGATAATAAAACTCTTAATTATTCTTCATATTTTTTTTACTGTTTTTGAAAATGCAAAAATTCAGATTTTATCTTGTTGAGATTGTGCCAAAAAAGTTGATATAAATTATAAATCTATTTAATGTTAGTTTGCCTTTTAAATTTTATTCTGATGAGAATATTAACAACTTAGTGCTTTTAGACATCACTAATCTGTGCTGTGAATAAATTTGTTTTGGTTAATTAAATTTGGGATTATGAAGAAAATAATATGCTCAACTTAAAAATGTTGATATTCTATATTGTGTGTATGATTGTACGATATCCATTTTAAATCTGATACCTTAGTATTGAGAACTGATGCTACATTTATCAATAACATAAAAGAGACAGTATTACTATGCTTAAGATGAGAAGTTATTAAAGCTATACATTATATATATTATATAATGGGCTCTATCTATAAAACACTGCATTATAAAAGTATTAAAGATATTTCAATTTTTTAAAGTACTTAAATGTAGTCAACTTTAAACTTGGTTCACTAATTGTAAACATGTATGCTCTTATTTTATCTTAAGAATTTTTCTTTGTCCTTTTTAGTAAATCTGGCAACTTCAGTTCAAAAGTGTTTCACATTCAGTATATGTTCTATTCCATCAAGTTTTGTCATTCCACTAGAATTACGTTTGTTAAATTATTTACTGAACTGATGTTTAGAAAGATATCTCCTTCAGTGTTATAGACTCAAAATAATTAGAACTAAGAAAATGAAACAGATAATTGTTTAATAAGTATAAAACTGAAAATTAGTATTATTTATTTTTTTAAAATGATTTTATTTAAAATTAAATGAAATTATGATAAAAAAAAAAAGAACACTAGATTCTTGAGATGTATTTAGTAATTTTGAGATGTCATTATCATTCCAAGAGCTATTTGGACCATTCTGAGTCCCTTGGTTTTAGTGGTGGGGTGTAGTTTCTTATCTTTTCCTATGAATTGTATACCTGAAGAAGGCCAGAGAATAGATTGGCAGAAACATCAACAACAAAAGCAGCAGAAAGAATGAAATCAATAGTCTGATTAACTCTTGAAATTTAGTGCCTTAATAAAAATGAAGAAATTACCAAATTTATTGTTTCATTTTTAGTCTGGTGATAAAAGAAATTCCAATCGGACTGGAACTTTGAACAAAAATATGGAGTTGCCTCACCGAAGAGCGGGAGGTGACCAAAAATCTGTAAGTTTATTTTTGTTATATATAAGACTTAAATTAAAATGAAGTAAATGATGGAAATGGACATCTAAATAGTGAAAATTAAAATTTAACTTTAGTAAACAAATGCAAGACAAGTTTTCTTATACTTTTGTTGTATTTTGTTTGTTTTGCAATTGTGAAATAAATGTGAATACAACTTTATCAGATAAATGTTGTGTATATAAATCACTCTTTCCAGAATAATCATTTGAAGCTCATGAATATGTTCATGATATGTTTGTAATATTTGACTTAATGTATTAATATGGAAATTATAAAAAAAATTATGATTAATCTTTGGTTGAACTTCTGATTGGAGAATGTTTGATTTTGTGTAAAATATATTTACAGATATAGTAAACACTGATAGTTTTTATTACATTTGTGTACATATATTCATTGTGTTAGCTGACATGCAAATGATTACTGTGATGCCTTGTTTGTGAAAAGATAAATTGACTTATTCTTTGGTGTATAATGCTGAAACATTGGTTCAATTAAAAGTGTTAAAAAGTTAAGCAGTGGACTCTTATACTATTTACATTATTTGTTGCCATATTTATCACAAGATTTCAGCCATTGTACGCTCTGACCTTCTTCAGGTGGTTGGAATGTCAAACTGAACCCTTTATTTCGCTCACTATGGTAGACTGTTTTAGTTCCACATGCCATGTCTAATGGATGTCAGTTATCAGTTATCTCCTGTTAATTCCCCTCTCCAAGTTCTCCACCACCTTAACCAGGTATTGAACTCACACTCTTTAACTAACGCCTTTATCCACTGTGCTATGTGTCCTTGACAGGACCCAAAGAGTGTGAGTTCAATACCTGGTTAAGGCGGTGGAGAACTTGGAGAGGGGAATTAACAGGAGATAACTGATAATTGACATCCATTAGACATGGCACGTGGAACTAGAACAGTCTACCTCAGTAAGCGAAATAAAGGGTTCAGTTTGACATTCCAACCACCTGAAGAAGGCTGGAGCGTACAATGGCCGAAATGTGATAAATATGGTGAAAAAGATGAGGACAATAGTCCAAATAATGTATATAGTGTACATAATACCTCATCTCAGAAATATAGACAGATACAGTAGACTCTTTTCTTTACATGATCTAATACTTGGTTTTACCAGCCTGTGTAAAAAGAGTTGAATACAACTATGAGATCATTTTTGAGACTAGATTTGAACTGTTTGTAGCATAATAGCAGATGTTTCAGTTTAAGTTTTTATTGCAAAAAAGTCTAAACTGAAGAATAAGCCTTATGATAGTCATAATATTAAGCTAGTTTTCAGTTATTAATTTTACAAAATATTTTTCTCATCTTGCAACAACAATCAGATTATAATTCTGTGTGTTCCTTTGTTAGTTAGTTAGCCTGTACATTACGTCCTGCCAATACCTCGTGAATTTTATTGTGAGGAAAGATGGTTTCAGTGAGGAAAGAGAAGATAGAGGAGGCAAAAATGTTGTTATGTGTTTAACGCCTGCTTCAGCAAAATGGAAATAGTTATAAAATAAAATATTCTAGTTGAGTCAGATAAACACAAAAAAAACAAAAAACAATAAAATGAATTTTCTCTGACGAGTATGTAAGGAAAGCTTGATGTAATAATGGCGTCATTCCATCATGGTATATCCTCCTTTGTCTTTCTCTGTTGTTTTGTTTCTTTGAATTTCTCTGTCTTTGGAATTTAAAAAAAAAAATACTTTCTTGTATAAATTATTGGCTGTGCAACAAACCCATATGAATAAAATTTGTAGTGATTAAAGAATCAAAGCAAGTAGCATGAATATTTTAAATATTTCAGTTATCGTTCTACCAAAATTGACCAACAATCTATATTTAGAATATTTTATATAAACCACTGAATAAGAGCTGTGTGAATGTGAGAATTTTAAATTCGATTGGCTTTCACCATTAAAAATTACATTAGGTTCAAGAAATTTAATTTACACACACACACACACACACACACACACACACACACACCATATGTATGTATGTATGTATGTATGTATGTATGCATATGAATTTTCTAATTGGTGTGACTTGTGCTTTTTATCTTAGTTTGAAGTCATTTTTCACGTCTCTCAATGAAGTGTGGTAATAAGCATTACCAACCTGATGTTCAGGATAAAACTCTTGTCCTATATTCTACCACTTAATTTATTTTCAGATTCTAAATCTGGTTATGTTGAATACTTTCAGCAGTTTTAGAATTGGTAGAGTTCATTTCTTTTTTTCAATTTAAAACTTGTTACATATTTAAAGATTTGTTTCTTCAAATGTGAATTTATTGTTTGAAATTTAATGTAGCTACATTGAGGCTATGAACAATAAATCATTGTATCATGAAAGGTTTTAGGTTAGTATAATATTCTTATTTTAATTTGGGATTAGTCAAATGTCTAAGTTGAAATTCAGTATTTATCTGCTGTTAATACTTTCCATTTTCGTTAATGTTTACTTATGTAAACTATATTTGCTTAATTGTCCATACTTTAAAAAAAAAAAAATGAACAAATGTTATACTGGCTCAGAATTGTTAAAAAAAAATCCTACCTACTCTTGTTTATTCAATTGTATTCATTTTTTGATATATATATATATATATATATATATAGAAATATATATTTTAAAGTATATATATATTTTTTGGAATAAAATAAAGTGCTCAATATTAGGGATAGAGCGTATGTAAATATAAAAGTAAAGATTGAAGTCAACACTCAGAGGCAACAGACTGTTTCATGCTAGACACACACATATATTAATGCATATTTAGGCAGCTATCACTCTTTTAAACATATGTTTTGGTGAATATGACAGACAAGGAAAATTTAATTAATTTTTATTTAGTTTTTCCAGGACTCTTACATTTTTTTTTTTTTGTTTGGTGGGAGAGTAAAGGAGTGCAAAAATTGTCCGTATTGTCCATTGTTCCGAGCGCTTTCAGCCACTTCTTTAGCAATCTTCAACTGGTTTTGTTTTCAGGTTTTGTTAATTTCTCTTCATGTTTGATGGTTGAAGATGTGTCTTTTGGTTTAATTGAATACTAGTAGGAGTGTTTGTTCTGAGTTTCATGTTTTGAGGGCAGCTGGAATTCAAGTGAGTGTCTTTCTATTAAAAAAAAAAGAAAAAAACAGACTCATTCATTAAATATCCATTGTCTGTCATATTTAACGACACACACACACACACACACACACACACACACACACACACACACACACACACACACACAGTGTTTTCAAGTTTATGGTTTTATCTTAAAGACTGATTGATGTATATAAGTCTCATCTGCAAAGTAAAAGATAAGCATATTAAATAAAATAAAGATACATTGGTAAATATACAGGTGTTAAATTACAAATTTTTGGCACTCCCAAGAATTTAAGTTTATCATCTAATAAAAATTTCTCAATTACATACGTGTTAATTGTTTCTTAATTGGTCATAATTTTATACAATAAATGACTGATTTATTGACTTAATGACCAAACATCAGGTTTTTGTAGAAGTGGTTTTGATTGGGCCAAGAACTTTTCAGTAATATCTCATACGATGGATAATTTACTTGGAGCAGTTTCCTAATGTTCATGATAATCAAAACAGTCATTTTTCAAAGTTTGCTTAGTAGTTAGTACGTTGAATATGTGTATATCATCAAGAACCTTAAAAAATATACCAAGGCATGCATATATTTAAAAAAGTAAATTAAGAATATTGTTTCTTTGAAATCATTGTTATTTTGAATTGTTGTGGATAGAGCATATCTCTCCATGGCCAGATGCTCTTGTTGATATTATCCTGTGCTCACGATATGTGTAAATAAAAAAAAAAATATGGAAGCTAAAGCTCAAAGGGATTGTCTCATCCTTGTAAAATCCTTTATTGCAGCTACCTGAATGTAGGAGTCTTCAATTTCTGAATTGACAGGCAGAATTAGGATGAACAAAGTTTATAAAGTTTACACATTTTTATACAAATGTTGGATTAAAAAAATATACTCAATAAATATATTTTTTAAATAAATTTTGAATCTTTTTATCAGTACAGTCAAAATATATCAAGTTCAACATTAGGAAATTGAAAAAAAAAAGAGTGTTACATGTTATATATAATCTATAAAAAACTGTAGCCTCATGTGTGTGTGCGTGTCTGTGTGTCTGTCCTGTGAATAAAAACAAATGGAAAATTTCTTTATCAATGAGTTTCGTCCACTGATGAACTTTATCAAGGCAAAAAAATGTCTGTCAGAGGACAAAATGCATTGATAAAAAAATTTCCTTTTGTCTTTATTCATATTGTCTTTTTACAAATATATTTTATTTATATTTCAATTTTTACACACAAACAATAAATAATCATTGTCTCTCTCTCTCTCTGTCTGTCTGTCTGTCTGTCTGTCTGTGTGTGTGAGAGAGAGAGAGTTTGTTTTTAAAACCACCACTACTGAAGGGAGTACATATTTATTGGGCTGACCAAACCTCATATATTTTAAAACCCTTTCTTAGTCCACCTGAGAACTTTTCAGCAAATCCTCATGTATTTTGATGTTTATATGTTACTTGTATGGAAATTTTAAATTGTCCCAAAGCAGCAGTCAACATGTTATTTGGTATTGAATTGAATATGAAATAAAATTGAGTTATTATTGGATAATATTAATTGCTTCAATTCTTAGAAATGGTAGAAAATTCTTTGTCTGATCTTTTCCTTCAAAACTCAACCATTTTGTCTTACTAGCAGCTCATGTTTGATTTTCTCTCTATCACTAATGCCCTCTTATTGTTTTTGGTTGATTTATCTTTTAATAACATATTAAAGATTTAAAACTCCTTCAATATATCTAGTGTTGTGAAGTGGTAGCTTAGTGCTAAGTTCATTGAAATAATTTAAAATAATTTATGAAGTGAGAAATAGATTTTTCTTTATATTTGACTCCCTTTTATAAAATTATTGTACTTTGTAGATATTAACATGGGGATAATACACATTAAAACATTGTTCCATGTCAAGTAAAGAATGATGTAATTTGGTTATTAGATCACTTTTTGATTTGTGGATAGTTGCTAAAATGTAAAAAATTATTGAAATAACTTCTCATAAGCAGACAATTCTTGAACTCGATTTTTTAGTTCATTTTTTTCTGACTTTTTTTTTTTTTTTTACTTTTGCTGTGGTGATCTTTGTATGTTGAATATGAATTGTTGTCACTGCCACTTATGTTGTTATCATTATGATCCTCTCCCTCAGTGGTTCCCAACCGAGGGGTATGTGAAGCCTTATCAAGGGGTACGTGTTGCATATAAATTTTTTCTAACTAAAATCAGTGTTAGCATTTTTTAGTTTATTTATTTTTTTATTTTTTAAAAACTTAATTTTTTTTCTACTCATATATATTTTTTTCTACTTATATACTTTATATTCTTAAAGAATGTATCATTACTTTTATTAAGTATTGAGCATTTTAAGCTTAAAGGAACAATATTGAAATTAAACAAAAAAAAATAAAAAAAAAGATTTGTAACCACTGAGAGGGAACCTCTAACTAATGCCGTATATTTAGGATGAGTGTTGTGTAAATCATCTGAAAAAAGTTGAAGCGCAAACAGATGCTGTTATTCTGTTTCTATGGAAACGGATTGTGGGTAAATATTGAAATGTTTCTCTTGTAGAAAGATAACTTTTTAATATAAGCTGAAATAGTAAATTAGAGTGATCTCCCTTCCAACATGTGAGCCTCAAGCAGTAGAATTCACATTTTGTCATATATTATTTTGGGGTTCTTTTGTAGATAAATGTTTTTGAAAGTATTTTTGATAAATTAAATTTAAACTGATACAATTTCCCTCACTATTTAAATGATGAGACAACATTCCAAAAATTTAAATTTTCAATTTATTGGATTTCCAATTGGAGGCTTTATCATTTTTTTTTAGAAGTTTTAGTATCTAGGTTTTGAACATTTTGTTCAGTTTATCTTTTGTTGTTGTTAATATTTTTCTTTCCATTTTTAATCACTGCTTTTATATTTTTATTTTCTTTCTTTCAGTATTGTATTTGTGACTTTTTTTTACCTGATCATGATTTTATTTTGTATATTTTGCATTTTACCACCTGGTTTCTTCATGTTTGTTTATTTCACTTATTTTTATTTTTTTTAGTTCTCACCTGTTTTTCTCACCTGTTTTATTTATTTCTTATGTTCATTTATACTTTGTACAATATAATTTTCTTAATATTTCTCCTCAGTTATGTAGCTGTAATTCATCATTTTCTTAAGCAATATGATAATTTTATATTTAAATTAAAGAAAACTCTTTAAAGTTCCTTTTGTGTTCCTACATGTGGATTTATAATTTCTGTTCCAGCCTGAAGTAATTGGCAGGCGTGGCAGACACCAGCAACAGACTCCACAGTTAACCCCTCAGCAGTACCAGCAGCAGCAGTTGACACAACAGCAACAGCAACAGCAGCAGCTTTTACTGCAACAACAATATCAACAACAGCAACTACAACAATTGCAGCAACAGCAGCAGCACCATCGACAGCGGCAACGAGCACAGCACCACCAGCAACTTCCTATGCCACCCCTACCACCACCTCCACCACCACAACACCAAAGACGTCATATGCAACCACAGCCAATGGATGATGAAATTGAAGAAATTTCCTTTGGAAAAGCAGTGGAGTTGTTGGTGGCCAGAAACTCTCGACCAATTGTAGTTTTAGAGCCACTGGACCCTGAGGTAAATTTTTCTACTAACATGCTTTTCTTCCTTTCTGAAAAGATAGTGCCTTTTTCAATAAAATGTTAGTCATTTGTCTATTTGTAAACAATGCACATGTCTAGAAGCAGGATTGACCAATGGCATTCATGATAAAGAAACTTGAAATTTCTGGATGTAGTAGAAACATGAAGTTTATTTAGAAGCAAACTGTAATTCAAAAGAGTTTAATTTTATTTCTTTGTAAACAATATTTGGCAGTCTTGGACCTTTGTGCCCACAAAAAGATGCTATTATTTTAACTACCTTCATTCCTTGGTCTATTGTTTTAAAAAGCGATGTTTAGAATTGTAATAAAACCTAAACATATGATGAAAATGAGTTTATACAATTTTTTTTTGTTCACAGCAAAAATATTAAACACTATTTATTTATTATATTGTTTATTTATTAAAATAATTTTATATTTACCACATTCTAAAAACTAATACAATTAGAACTAATGCAATGCAATATTTATCATTTGCCAATTTACAAAGAAATAAGCATGAAAGCAATTTTTTATTTATAAACATTTACTAAATATGAACCAACTATAAGGAAATCCTTATTATTTAGCATTTTATAAAGTTCAAACTGATTGGCAATTAGCTGATTCCAATAACCATTCCAATAAGCAATCTAATAAATAGTGTAAAGAAACATTAATAAATGGATAGTGTTCATTATTTTTGTTGTCATTTCTCAAGAATAAAGAAAATGTATAAATTCACTTTCATATGTTCACATTTTATTAAAATTACAATCATCTCTTTTCAAAATAACAAATATTATCAAGTGAAGTTAGAATAATAGAAGTGTTAAGGGAAAGACTATCATTTGGACACTTTTTTTTTTTTTTTTTCAGGAATGAATGTCCAAGATTGCCCAATATTTTTTCGTTATTTAGTCTAGATTGGAAAGTATCTGTAATATTCATGTATAGAGATATTTTTTTTCTTATATCATGAGAAATGTCATGTAGCAGCAAATTGACAACTTTATCTTTACATATGTACATGTGCATACAATATGTAATGTTTCACTTCATCTAGCCTTTCATTTTCCTAACCTTTATTATGTAAATAATACTTTTACTTACTTGCATATGTCTGATGTCAAATATACTACCTGAAAATTTGATTTGATTTACTATAAGATCCAACTGTTTTCTCATATTTCTTACCCTATGGAACTTTAGTTGGTGTATTATAATTTCAAATGCTCTTTACAAACTCACCTTTCTGATAAAATATTACTGAAGTATATTTTTAAAATCACTTTTTTACTAGAACTAGTATAAAATGTAAAACATTTTTTATAGTATTTTTCTAAATTGATCCTGTACTTGTTTTGAATTGTAAAAAATGACTTCTAGTTCATTTTGCTTTGATTTTTACCTTTCTTTTCAGACATTGCAATCCATTGCCATAGGGGGAAGAAGTAAGTGATAACTGTTTGCTGTGTCTGCTTTATTCTGAGTGTGAATGTGCGCAAGAATGGCACTAAATGTGCCAACCCTGGTGTTCTATTTTCATTCCACCTGCCTCGGTCTACAGGTTTTCTCTCCTGATATAATGTTATTCATGTCTCAATGTGAATATCGATTATAATCACTGCATAAGAACTTAAGAAATGCATATGAAAACAACATTCTGAAATAATAGATTTTGTTTCAGATTGTATGTCCTGTTTTTTGTTTCAAGTTCCAACTGATCAATCAAATTATAGAATTATATAAAGATGTAGGTAAATATATATATAAGAATGCATGTTTTACTCTACTTGTGTATATATATATATATATATATATATATATATATATATATATATATATATATATATATATATACATTGAATCTGTTACTGTTAGGATAATACTTATAGGCCCTGACTTTATAAAATATTTAGCTATTATATCTAGGTATATGAAAAATGAAGAAAAAGCAAAAATACTAACTCTATCAAATTTTAGCAGTATTAGTAAATTTAGATATAGTTTCACAATATATGTATACATGTGTGTATGTATAGAAATGTGTATACACTTGTTTATACATATTAGTGCGTATACACACTTGTCTCTACATATATGTATACATGTGTGTATATATACATGTGTGTATGTATGTATATGTGTATATATATATATATGTGTATGTATATGTGTGTGTATGTTTATATGTGTGTGTATATATATATATATATATGTGTGTATATATGTATATATATATATATATATATATGTGTGTATATATGTATATATATATATGTATATGTATATATGTATATATATATGTGTGTGTATATATATATGTGTGTGCATATATATATGTGTGTATGTGTGTACATATATATGTGTATGTATGTATGTATATATATGTATATATATATATATATATATATATATATATATGTATATGTGTGTGTGTGTACATATATATACATATATATATAAAATTAAATAAATGCCAGGAACTGCAATAATAAATGAAACATGAATCACATCATTTTTACAATTTACTTTGTTGTAATTTCTTGTCCTTCATCTCTTCATAAACCTATAAATGTCATGGTCCATAATGTTAGGAAAGCATCCATGTCCCCAAAATTAGACATTTAATATTTCAAAGAGACAAAGAAACCCATTCTTCTTTCCTCTTTTTATCATTTCACCCTTTCATTTCTATTTATTGTTCTTTCCTTCCATACAGTTAAAACCGACTGTGATATTTTGAGAAGACAGTTACAGGGTAGGTATTTTCAGAGTTTTTTTGGTTACACCATTTTATTTGTTTTTCTTAGTCTAATCTAATCCACTAGAAACAGTCCAAATGGCAAATCAGTTTTCCTCCCTCTTTTAACCTCCCAACTTTTTTTCTTCCTTTTCCTTCTCCCCACTTCAAAATCTAATTTTTGTTTTACTTCTCCAAAATGACTAACCAAAAGCATAAATATATGCTTATAAAAGGGAAAATTAGCAAAACATTAACTCTCTTGGACTATTTACTAAGCTATATTAATCTTTCAATGTAGTTAACAAATAGATATATTGTAAATGCCCCAGTAAACTGACTGTGACTATGATAAATATAGATTTTTCCATAAAACTTAACTCTGAACACATTAAAATTTAGCTATATTGCTCTGTAGTGAAAGTATATGATAGCTTAACTATTTGGTAAATCTTTGTTATAATTGTCCTCTAAATACAGTCAATAACTATCATTTAACAAGTTTTGAAAGAAGAATATTAAAAAGACAGAACATGTCTATTCTAAGCATCACCTGTATTCAAAGATAGATTATAATTACTTAGTAAGGAATAAGTAGTATTTACTCTAGTAGAATATAGGGAAAAGAATTAGTGTAACTAATTAGAGATAGGTATCTTTAGAATAGGGAGATAATACTAAACTAAATGAGCTTGAGATTACCAAGAGGGCAATTATTGCAAAGTTGGGCACTTGATATTTGAAAGACATTTGTTTCCTTTGTTCCCCCTTCTCTAGGAAATTTACAAACAGATTGTTTCATTTCTCTTGTTTTTGTCCAATTTGTATTGCAAAACTTTAAAAAAAAAGAGTAAGGAACAATATATAAGCTTTCTGAAAAGAAAGCTCCTTATTTTTTATTTTTTCTGATATTTAATCAAGTTTTCACTATTTATATAAAAATTACATCTTCAGAAAATGAGGAATAAATTATGCAATAAATAAAAATAAGGAGCTACTTTTCAGACACCTTGTTATTTTTGCAAATGGTAAGGATTGAAAATAAAACAAATTTTTACATTTTAAGTAATTTTAAGAAAAATAGTAAAATATGTAGCAAACGTAAAATAAACTATGCATCTGCATGCAAGATCGTTCTGCCAAGTCTTAACAAGTTGTCATCTCCTTTGCTGTTTCTATCTTTTTCTGTGCCTCTAAAAAAAAAAAAAACACACTTATTATAATTATGGTGTGTGCATGTTTTTTTGTTATTTATCTTTGATTTCTTTTGCCTCTGTCTCACTGTCTCAATTTTTGTTTGTTTTAATGGACTTGCATTAACGGTTTGTTTATGTCTTGATATTTGTTCTTTAAGCATCTTTAAGAGTGGGTGACAGAAGCTGTCCTGACTCTAGATAATTTGCTATAATTTTGAGAGAAACTGAAACTGTTTAAGTTTTTCTGTCATCAGCTTCCTGTTAACTCATTTGATAACTTTTTTTTTTTTTTTTTTTTTTTTTTTACTTAAGTTAGCTTATACAATGACAAAAACACCATTATGTTCACTTCATTAATGTAAACATTGTCTATTTGGATCAGTAGTTTTGAGTTGAATTTCATCCAAAACGAATTTCAGTATTGTTATTGTGAAGTTTCTATTTCTCTTCCTGTGCAGTTATATAACAGGCTGCAGTAGGAATATTTTCTAGCTTATAGTCTTTGTGCTCCCTAAGACTATGGAAATTTAGATGATTTATATTATAAAATGTAAAATTTAGATACTTGTATAAATTCTATAATTTAATATACACTTTATTTATGTTGTGTATAACTTGTGCATGCTGACAAGGATAGTATCTATGTTTATAAAATGTAATCAAAAACAGTCTTATTTAACAAAGTGCTATCAATAAAATATTATTTATTCAAAGAAAGGATGTGTAGTTTAAGATTTGTATAGATGTCACTGTTCTTGTTTTGTTATGCATGTTCAGATGTATCCCCCGTACACCTTAAAATTGCTACTAAACTGATACCAAAAGATTTATATAATTTGAATACTTATTGTATGAAAGTAAATGCTTAGGTCTATAGAAGTGAGACTATGAATTAAGTTTTTCTTGTTTTTGTAAAATTATGATAATTGGTCAGCATCTATGATTTGTAGTTCAGCTCCTAAGTAAGGATTATATTGTACTCATATTTATTACTGATAACGAGATTTGCTTTTATTTTCAACCAATTTTATTGGCTATAATTCAGAGTAATAATATAAAATAATAAAATTTGTATGCACATACATAGTATTCTGCAGAACCCTTTGATAGTTTTGACAATAATCTATTATAATTATTTACACTAATTTCCCTACAACTGATTTGATTGTAATCAATAAGTTTAGAGTTACCTTGTAATATTTTTATTTAGAGGTACTAAGAAAAAGCTTTGATCTATTGTATTTTCCTTTTTTTCTTCTATTTATACATTAGTAATGATGATACCCAATTTACAAATAAGCTATATTCATAGATTATGTAGATTAAAATTGTGGTATAAATGTTGACATTACATTATCAGTTGAACAGTTAATTCTTATGAAAGAAGAAAACCATTTCAAATTATGTGGCCTGATCTTATATATGATTATATTCTTTAACCCCACTCCCCAGTATAGATATATACATATGTTTTTATTGAAAGTGTCTTTTTCAGACATAGATAAATAAACATATCCAAAACATTAACATTCAAAAACTATCTACAGACATGTTTATTCGTTGATCTTGATTTTTTTTTAATGCCCCTCTGAGCTTGAAACAAGATCAATTGTCAACTTATACATTAAAGTGTTATCCACTGCTTGGCTACTTCAAGCTGCCTCAGTTTCTTAGTTACTATATTGAAACAAATGAAAAAAATTGTTTGAAAATGAAACGTTTTTCCCAAAATAATCATTGGGAAAGGGGCTAACATGCATTTTCTTTTGGAAATTATGAGTTGATTTCATTAAGAATCTCTTTACAGTTCTCTTATTTGTGCTAGAATTCTAGAAAATTATCTCTGCCACATTTGTTAGTCATTATGCACACTAAATGAACATCACTCAGTAGAATATATTAAAAGCAAATCATCCAATTTGCTCTTTGTTCTGGCTTGTAAAATCTGTTATATGATTAAAATCTAAACATTCTACTAATTTTAAGTAGTGATAGCAAATCATTCATATTGAATTCATTCATTTTGTCTTACACATTTTCAAATAATCCCTTTAAAGATTTTTCTAGGATGAAATCTCTGGCAGTATTTTAGGTATAACAGCTATAAATTATTCCTAGCTAGTCAGAATGGCAGATTGAAAATATCTTTTACTTTGTTGAAAATAAATGCATGTTGATAACCACTGGTCATCTTCATTGTAAGTCTGTTTGTTCTCTTTTTCTGTTTATCTGTGTATACATTCTCTTTAACCTGACTGTTTCACATTTAGTCATTCATATCTTGAATGCAGCAAAACCAATGTTTTTTTTTTTTTTAACAACTTAATCATCTATTGAACTAACATCTTCAACTAGTATGTTGTGCATTGACTTTCTATACAATACTTGCTTTATGCATATTTTAGATTTGGTGCCTCAGTTATAAATTGTATTGCAGCATTAGTGTTGATAGGAAATATTGTGGATTTTACATATGAATTGACTGCAATGCAAATAGGTAATAATGACCCTCCTATGTTGAAGATATTAGTTTGGAGGTTTTTCACTTAGACAAAATATATTTATACCAGCATAATTAGTGAAAGTTTTAACTTGCTCAGCATATGACATATTATATTTATGATGTTGAACTTGGAAAAGATCAGAAAATATATAAAAGAAAATTCAATGAAAAATGTAAATATGATGGTCTGAATAAATTAACTTGATTATAATGATACTGTGATGAAATTTGTTAGTCCAGATACTTATCCTATGCTTTTTATAAGCATGTGATACATGTTAAAAAGTATTATAAAAAGATGAAATAAAAAATTGTTTGATTTAAAGCCACATTATAAAATTTGTGTAATTTAAAGTCACATTATACAATTTATATGGCTTAAAACCATATTAAAAACTTGAGTGACTTAAAAAAAAAACACACACACATAAAATTTGTGTGGCTTAAAAACAAATTTGTTATATAAAATCTAAATACTCTGTTAATTTTAAATAGTGATGGACAATTCCCAAGCTGATACTTGGAAATTGTCCATCATTCTTTAAAACCAGAATAATTTTCTTTATAGGTTTAGTTTTCTTGTATAATAAAGTGTTTACATAGACCAACACACATTAAACTTTAGTGTTTACACACACACACACACACACACACACTGGAATATATGGCAAACTTAAAACGTGATAGTAATTAATTTATACTAGACACATACATTTTGATTTATTTCAAAATCTCTAGTTTTGTAGCATGCTCTTGATTAATATATGGAGACACTATTATGGGACAAAATGTTTTGTTCTCAGAAGTAATGTCAGTTCATTTAATCCCAATTATTTCTAACTGCTCTTGTATCTGTTCCTGCATGTAACTAATCCTGTGTGTCTTTTGTGATTGTTGTAAGCCTGTCCATTATTTTTCATGTATATATTTATATATACTTATATATTTTATTTTTACCATTCTCAATCTGTTTATCTATTATTTTAAAGAATGATCTGTCTGGTCATATGCGAAAAAAATAACACAAAATGAATAGATTTAAAAGAAATCAAATTTTTTAAAATTTTTAAAAAAAAGCTAAAATAAAATAAAAAAAAGAAACTGAGAAAAATATTTTCTCTAGTAGATTGTAACACTGTTTTTTTTCTAAAGATCTTGGTGGAATGAAACTAGACTGCTTCCAAAGGCTGTCTGGACACTCATCAGGATTGTGTGATGGACATTTACTGTTTTTAAATTTGAATGTTTCAAATTTTGTCTGTCTTCTACTTTTTGAAAATTTATTTAAAACTTAACCTTGGTGAAAATGTCCATCTTGTTTTGCTGATTGTAGAGATGAGGTAGTGGAAATTTCATTTTCTGAATTTGGCTAAATTTGAAAATTATTGTTACCATTTTTTTTTATACTTTTGATATATATATTTTGATGCATTGTGGATATTTAAAAAATAAGAAATGTGTATCCATATAAATATTAATAACAAATGCAGAAATTGAATTTGAAAATTATTTAGAAGCAAAAGTTTGGTTTCTGTATATCTATTTTACTAACTTTTCAGCTTGTTCTCAATTAATTAGAAATTAATACTGACTTTGATTGCATTTTGTAAAACTGGTTATAAGCAAAGAAGATTTTACTGCACTTGTGAAAAATAATTTGTAAAAATTTGTTTTTTATATTTATTAATTCTGTAAAAAGAAAAGACTTTTTGAAAGTTAAGTATTAAAATTATTAGCATATAATTTTTGACTATTGACAATAAGTTATACATCTTTTTGAATAAGTAGATGTTGACTCAGTGGCTGCAAAGGAAAGAAAAAAAAATCAGTATTATTGATATAACATTGAGAAAAGGTTCCTTTTTTTTAATAAATGTTTTGTATTCTGAGATTATTTTAGTGACATTAGAAATAAATGTCATGTAGTCACACTGAAAAAATAGATAGTAAATAAAAAAAATCCCTTTACTGATATTAGGGAAAATGTTATGTATGACAGTATTAGATAAATGATAGTCTTCAGAAGATATTAGAAATAAATTTGCTGAAAATGTTAAGTTATTATAATCTTTATATATCTTTCTGATATTAACTTTCTGTGATGTTGAACAGCCTAAGAATTCAGTTATAAAATGATCTTTTGCATATTTCCATTATTCAGTTTAAATAACTGAGACTGCATTTATTTTAATAAAGTGAATTTTTTCAAGCATTTCCCTTCTGTACATGAAGTTTAGGTTTAGATGAAGTTCAATAAAGGAGCAGCTATTTAGAATAAATATTATTGAATAAGCTTAGTTGGAAATTATTATCATTAAGTATAATTTTTAGGAAGATTGATTAAAGATGTATTCTTCTGTGTGGTCTTCAGTTACATGAGAAGTGACAAGAACAGCATTGCTCAGGTTAATATCATTTTGACCATTTGAAGACCATATAGGATTGGTGATTTTGAAATTTTGGTGGACTTGGAGTATAAGTTATTGACTTTTTCTTGGTCTCACCTCTATTTTGGATGTGAATAGCTTTCTTTTTTCAGCTTTACTCAATTGATGCAAGATTTGATAAGGCCCTTATAGGAATCCTACTATGATTGTCACAAAAAAAATGTTTTTGCTCTGCATAACTCACATAGCTGATTTATGCAAAATGTTCCTATTTACAGGTGTAATCCTTCATAGAAAATTTAATAAAAATTATTGGTAGCCAGAATTGGCTATTGCAGAAGTTTATTATTATAAAGTTCTGCAATTTTTGTTTCTGTCATTATCAGAAGTAACATTTTAAAATGTTTAAATTCAATATCTATGTTGACCGTATAAACATGCTTTTGTCCCATTTTACTTTTGAGTGACTAGAGAACAAATTAATTGAAATTCTATGGATTAAATAATGGTTTTGTCATATCTGAAGGAACAAACTTTGAAAATTGATGAGCAAAAAGTTCAATATAATTTTAGTGTTTTTTTTTTTTTTTTTCCTTTTAATAAAAACAAATATTCAGATGTTTGGTGAGTTTACCCTTTTTTTTTTTTTTTTTGCTCACATTTTGGATTTAATTTCAGTGTGATTCCTGGCATGAAATGCATTTTTTATATCACTATGAAACTGTATCTTGGATTGTTAATGTTTTTCTTCTTATGATGCAGGCTGTAAAAGAAGATATTCTGGTGATAGTGGGGATGATGATAATGATGATGATCCCTATTGTAAGTATCCATTTATCATTCACTCTTACTCAACAGTATATAAATGTGTGCTTATTTAGAATTTGCTCAAATGTTTTTCTTTCAGTATTTCTTTTCTACTTGGCTTGATAAACAGAATTATCAAAATTCTCTTGTAACCATTTTCTATGTAAATCATGTAGAATAAATGAATTACATGGGGAAAAAAATTATACGTACACAAGAAAATCAAGCATTTAACAGATTCAAGTATGACACAAGACTTTACTAAACCAAATAAATTTTATTTGTTAATTAAAAAATAACAGATTACATTTTAGCTTTAAACATTTTTATAGTTGTATTTAAAGGTTACTAAAGTGAATCACAAAATATGTTATAGCTGCTTTGCTCTCACCTATATTTCTGGTGAACAATCCTCGTATTTTCAAATTGTCTTTTTCTAAAGCATTAAAGATCCCACACTTAGTATTTATTACTTTTTTGCATGTTATATTCTCTTTCTTTATTTTCCTATCATGAAAATTTGTTAATATCTCATCTTAATTATTTTTCAGCTCGGAAAAAAAGGAGGAGAAGAAACAAAAGGTTCCATCAAAGAACACTTTCTCTTGATGAACTCTTGGAAAGTCCAACTTTCAAAAAATTTGCATCATCTATTGAATATGTCTTTGATACAGCAGAAGATGTGGATTTTGGATCACTCGACCCAAGTAACTATTATAAAAATCTGTTTTTTATAGCTACTTTCAATCAGATAATCTGTTAATTATTGCATAAATGATGATAGTAACACTTTTTAGTTTTGACCATGAAATTCAATAAAAGTGTAATTTTCCTATATATATACATTTCCTTCATTACAAAATGAAATTTTTTATATACATTTTAAGTATAATTGTGAAGAGAATTATTTGAATACTTTTTCTATTGGTAATGGTGGGAAAGTTCTAATCATATTTCCTATGAATTTCTCCATTAAGAAGTTAGTTATTCTTATTAAATTATAGTCATAGGCCCCAACAAACACACTAGAATTTATTTTGAAGCTCTTGTAATATTCCTGTTTTATATTAATGTACATTATTTTCTTTTACCCTCCAGATGATGATGATGTTGAATGTCCGCCCGAGTCATTGATCTCTAAGCAGGTTATGTCTGAAATCTGTAGTGAGGCAGCAAAGCTGAAATCCATGGGTGTGTTCAATCAGGTAAACAAAATTGATTGGTATCGCTGAATAGTCCAAAAAATGAGCTGCAGGTTACATTTTCTCATTGGGTTATTCTCGGTTTAAACTTAGATGTATACAATATGGAAACACAAATATATATTGACTATAACTTTGAGAAGAGTCATCAACATATCCAGCATTATTTGAACACTCAGACCACTTATTTGAATATTTGCTGCTGTTAATTTGGCAGCATTTTAAGTCCTTTTAAGGTGTCATCTATGATAAAAAGTAAACTTTTATTTCCTGGCACAATATGTGAAGAAATTGTTTATTATAATATCCATTGAACTGGTCTCTTTTTACAGTGATGGGTACATCAAGTGTCCAGGTGATCCCAAAATATGGCTAGGTTGGGAATACCCCAACATGAAATTCATTATGAAAAACCATATGAGTTTCACACCCAGTTGATATATATATATATATATATTGCCTAACTCACTCCCTAAGTCCCAAACAAGGCTCTCTGTCAATTATCTGAACTCTAACCCAGATGGGATTTTGTGTACCTTTCTCCCTTTAGATGTTGTTTGCCATACTAAATTTTATCACCTTTTTATGGCTATGGCTTTCTAATATTTCATGAGTCTAAGAAGTCATCTGTTATATATACCTTACCGCATCTGTATGGTATGTTATAAATGCAGTTTTTTGTCAGATTTTTCTCTCATAAGCTACCAACTCTTGTAAGAAAGTTTTGATGGGTAGATCAATTATTAAATACTATCCTGATCTTGTAATGTTTACAAATCATTTGAATCTGTTCTGTTATGCCTGTTATATATGGAATGTTCAATTGAACTGAACTTTCTCTTACTGTTCCTAAACATAGAAGTAATTTAGGATGGATAGTTATTATGTTGGAGGAAATTATTAATATACCTTAATTCCTCTTCTACCCTTGTTGGATCATGATCCAGTGTAGAAGATAACAGACTAGTGATTTCTTGTATTTTAAAATTCAAATATAGTCCATATTTGTAGGTTTTTTGTGCATATTTGTGCTAAAGCTTTTCTAATGTGATATATTCGTTTTCCATTATGAACTCTATGGAATATGGAATAAAGTTCACATAATTCAATAGGACATGTATATACACATGCTAAGGGTCCATAAGATGAAAGTATCATCCATATACCCAAATTGGACCAACAGCTTCAACAAAGTGGTCTGTAGGAGTAGACCTTCAAAAAATCCCATATAAATATTAGAGGTCAATGAGGACAGTGAAGAAGCCCTATAGCTGAAACTTCTTGGCACAATGTGTTAGGAGGTCCAAACTGGAGGTATGTTGTGCTAATGCAAAATGTCAACATCTCTATTAGTTTGTGGCTTGTGGAGATGTCAGTATAAGTTCTCAAATCTCTATCCCTTTGCATGGAGGATATGCAAGGCTTTCTCTGCAGGTATCTTGTTAAAGAGGCTAACCACATTAAAACTAACCGTCAATGATGACAAGATGGGCAACTCTCTAATTCGTTCCTTGATGTGAGAATTCTTCATCTTGTTTTACCTGAAAGTGATTTTAAAATATCAACCAAGAAGTGAATCAAATGATGAAATTCTGAGTCAATTTACTTTAGTTTTTAGTAGTATGTTGTCTTTGTACATATGAGGAAAACCAAAAATGAATGGAAGTTTGCTATGCTGTTGTATTAACTGTTTTTATTCCTTAGACCATTGTTTCTCAATCTTTTTTACTTCATGGCATACTTGTAGATTAACTAAAACTCTGGGGCGCACTTTGAATTTTAATAAGAAAAAATTAGTTCTAAAATTTAGTAATAGGAAAATAATAAAGAAGTCTCGTGAAATAAGCATTTATTTTCAAGACATTACATTGTATATTTCAGTATGCTTGTGTGAAAATTGTGCTTAATGCACTTTGACAATTTTTTTAATGTTAGGTCTTATATGTGATAAACATACACTCATTTCCTCATCAATACATTTAATATTTGATCTATTTTTTGCATTTAATGTTCATAAATGCAGAAAATCCTAATTCACAGAGGAATGATGTGGGAAATTGCAATAAAATATCCAATGCTTTACTAGCCATTGAAGGATATTCTTTTTTTTAATGGAAATCCCAAATTGATCAAGGGTCACTTGTTTATGCAGGATTTGTAAGTCTCAATCAGCAGATATAATGACCAGCTCCTGTTCTGTTAATGATAAATCAACGTCATCAGTCAATTGAATTAGACATAGAAGCCATGTATTTGATGTTTCTAGCTTTTTAAAAATAAAGATTTTTTTAAAATAATTCATAAATTACTCTTCTAGGGAGCACCTGGCTATCTTTCAGGGTGCATTAATATTCCCTGGTCCATTGACTGAAAAATGCTGTCTTAGACTGTAAAACAATTTTCTTTTTGTAGTTAAGATATGATTTTTTTTTCTTTTGATTCTCAGTCACTAATATTAATTCAGTTTTTAATTCATATACACTTTTGTCCATCATCACAGTTGTCTTTTTTCCTCCTTTATTTACTGTTACTGTTATTATTTTTTATCATGTTATCATTGATATTTGATAGTGTGGATGTTACATACTCTAAAATCTGTCTTAAATTCTTTTTTTTCATCTGCCTGAGATTTTTGCAATCTTGAGGCCATTTCTTCCAATAAGGATATTAGATTTAAATATGGTATCTGCTTGTTTTTAACTAAAAATGACAGGCCTTTATTATTATGTCATTGCTGATTGGATCTTTGTTGTAAATAGAAGACCCAGATTTTATTGAAATTTGCATAAGGTGATTTGTAGCCCTTTCTAGAACAAAGAAACTACAAGACAACATAATAAATGAAGGTGAAATGTCACAGATTTGTTTTTGGCAACAGCCAGTTATTAAGCTCTTAGGAAGATTTTGGTGATGACTTATCCAATAGAAGTGGAAGAATTGGCATTTAACCAAATCAAAGAGATTATTCTAAGGAATATCTAATCAAGGAAAAGGTTGGTTAATTCCGAACAAACCAAGTTCTTGTCATTAAAACAAGAATGCGAGGAGCCCATTATGAAATTTTTGCACTGGCTACAAGATGCTAGCAGATATTGCAAATTTCAACATTTAGGACAAAAAGAAATGTCTATTGAAGAGGAATTCAACTAAGACTAATAGAAGGTCTGTGCAATACTTTGCATAAATTTAAAATGTTAGGATGGTTGCCATTAAATTGAATAATGTTAGAGACGTATTGAATTTATACAAGCATTGATTGAAAAAATCAATAAATAAAAAAAATTAACCTGAAATTATGGACACATGCATGATAAAGAAAAAACAGTAAAATGCAGTTATTGTAACTATGAGCATAAACCAGAGAAAAATGCCTGGCATGGGGACAGATATGTAAAAATTGTAAAAAGAAAAATCATTTTCAATCAATGTGTAAATTAAAAAAGAAAAATACAAAGAATGTTGAAAAAATAACAAACCCTTTAAAAAGTGAAACTGATGTTTTCTCAATGCAGAAGAATAAGAAGGAAAATATCTTTATGGAAATTAAATTGAATGGTACTTGGACTGTAGAACCAATACTGACTGCATACAACTGCAATCCCTACATGGGATATTGTAACAATTAGCACATTAATACCCAATCTGCTCAAGATGGCACAGTAGGCATTAATGGGTTATAGATAATAAAATTCTATAATTAATACTGGATTTTTAGAAGCCTGTAATTAATACCTGATTTTCTTTTACAAAGTTATAATTAATACCAGCTTTTACAGTGTTCATTAATGGATTAATTAATGTGTCTTCAGACTTATCGAGTTCTTTATATTGACCACTGCTTTCATTGGTTCCTGTGTAACTTTGATTCTATAATCCATGTTCTGTAACCTACAGAATTGAACTTTTTCCCCCAAAATCTTGTAAGACCTTTTCTATGCTCTGCTGTTTTTTCTTTCTATCTTCTTCAGCTGTAATCTCCCTGAGGAGTATTTACATTTTTTCTTTGTAGCATTTTTCCAGATGATGATTTTATTTTAAATTGTTCATCATGATGTATTTTCTCATTCACTAGAGCATGACTATCCACTTTTGAATGTTATTAGTTCTTTCAAAGAGGATGTTACATTTGAGCTTCAGGCTCTGTGATATGAAAACTTCCTCTTGGCATCTACACAAGAATGTTAAATGGTTGGATAATTGAGCGATTTTGTGTGATAGTTTCTCTGTTTGTCTCCATTGTATATTTAAACCTAAGAGAAGATCTGATTATGAGGCTGCGATATTTTTACAACATCCTGTGAATTCAAATGGAGTAGACCTATTTATGTCTTTGTTTAATTAAATCACTGTGATAGTACTTTCTGTGCCTGGCACCAATGCATTATGCCTACCGATAATAAATCATGGACCCCCCCCCCGTCATTTCATCCCGAGCAAGGTAATAAAGCCACTAAGATGCAAGAGATTACTGAGTGTTAGAGAATATGAGGGGAAAATACAATTAAAGAGAGAGAACAATAAAAGGATAAGAATTAACAAGATAGAAGAAAACTTAGTTCAGGCTTACATATTAACTGTAAATCTGTTGTCTATTATCTGGTATAATCTATAAAAAGAAAAACTTTTTATTTATGAAACAACAAAGAAATTGCTCACTAATATACCTATTGGAATGGTCTATTTTTACAGTGACAGATACACTGAATGCCCAGGTGATTAGAATAGAAATTTCCTTTTTTTCTCACTGTTTACACCTGAAGAGGAATGAAGAATAGATCAGCCAAATCAGTAAAAATCCAAAGAAGTGTTCAGATAATGTTGGATACAAAACTACATTCTTTATCTTGATTTATGAGAGCTGAAAATCAAAAACTTGTCTGGTATATTAAAGGATAAATTACCTGAGTGTAGGTGAAGGCAGTAAAAAAGGCCTCAAAATACCTGAAAACAATAATTAGTTGTAAAATAATTTTTGAAACTGGCACTGGATTCTGTTAATTTTTATTTATAAACAATGTTCAATGTTTCTATCTCTTTTTCAATACTTACAACTTGATTTATTCATATTATCAATATGCACACAAAAAATATTAAAAAAATGATGATAGCACATTCTTTTATCTTTTTCCTTTGCAGATTCCTGCAGATAAGCTTGTGAGGTTACTGACCATTTTGCAATGGAATGTACGTGATGGCATCAAATTGACACCAAATATTAACAAGGTACAGTTGTGATGTCTCTAATCTTCCTTTTAAAACTTACTGGAAAATTATGAATTTTAATTGTTTACTAATTATTCCTACAAAGCTGTTATATGAGGCTTTCTGAAGCAGGTAGTGAACTTGTCTACACAACAAAAAGGAGTTGAGGAAATTGCTGAAAGACTTTTTTTTTTCTTTTAATCATTTCACCCCAAGCAAGGTGGGAATGCCACTAATATGCAGAGAGTGAAGGTGAGAGAGCAGAGACTGAGTATAGGGGTGACCAAGGAAAGGATAAAAGCTGAATGGGGTTCAAGAAGATAGAAGATGGTGATTGACATTGCATTTAATTTTTGAAGATTGTAGTTATCAGAGAAGCAAAGGAGTTCCACAGACAGGAAATGCGAGAAAAGAAACTGTTGAAGTAGAAGTGGCAGTTGCATTTAACTAATTCAACAGTAAAAGGGTGGGACCTAGATGCCAATCTAGTAGCACACTTAAACTCACATAGTCTGGGCACCAGGATAAAAAAACTTGTCAGAACAGTAGCCATGAAAATATTTGTAGAAAAAAGGAAGCCACGTTAAGTCAGTGAGAAAGTGACTGAAGTTGAGCTGTTCATATTTGTTATCTTAACAGTTTGTAATTGTCTATTGGAATGTTTTTGTCTTTCAGCCATTTAATTTGTTGTCACAAATTTCACTTTTCAGTTTATTAAAATTGTTTTAAAAATAGTTTATTTTCATTTAATTAGCTTAATAAATCTCAATATAATATTTAATAAAAGTATGCGAATGGAAACTATAAATTTTGATTTATATAATCGCAATAATAAAAACAACTTTGAATATTCAAATATAAAAATAATTATAGTCACACTATTTACATTGTTTGGACTGTTGTCATCATCATTATTGTCATATTCATGATGTTTCAGCCGTTGTATGCTCTGGCCTTCTTCAGGTGATATAGAAGAAGGCCGAAGTGTTCAATGGCTGAAATGTTGTGAATATGACATTAAAGACGAGGAGAACAGTCCGAACAATGTAAATAGTATTAATAGTTACAATACCTCATCTCAGAAATAGAGACAGATGTTAAAAGTACTTGTATCAACTTTTAGTTGATTTTCATAAGGATAATAATTTTTGGAAGAAACAACTATTAAAAAAATGTAGCTTAAAGTTACTATTCTTTCCTTAAACTAATATCTTAATCTTTCCAATCAAATGATTACCATGAATTCTTATTTTTACACTGTTATAAATATGAATCCTTTGAATAGCAAAAGTATTTTAGTCACTGACATTCTGCAATATCACTTGAAGATGAATCTGTTGCAAACAATGTTATTATTAAATCAGAAAAAGGTCTAAGCCAGAATTGTTACATTAAATATTAAACAGCATATATTCTTTTTTTTTTAAAGGAAGATGATGACGATGATGATGATGAGGAACAAGTTCTTTGGCGAGAAATCACCATGGAGCGTGTGATGAGGAGCATGGATGCCTCTTTGACTGCAGTCTACATCATGACTGCAACTGAAATGCCAAAGCAAGTGTTTTTGGAAGATGTCATTGAAAGGATTATATTGTTTGCCAAGTGGCAGCTTCAGAACACTGTCTATCCAGAATTTGACCCTGTCTACAGAATAGATCCTCATAACAAAGGTTAGACTTAGAGCCATGTTCTCTTTGTAATCAAACATTCTTAAACTATTGAATTTGTTTGCATTATACTTATTTAAACCAACTTCAATTCTCAGCAGTGTTTTTAGTTTCCCATTTGTCATATTCATTTGAATATATTTGAGAAAAAAAATACTTTGGTGACTTTTATATTTATACATGTTTAAGTCAGTTGAAAAAATTCATAAGATAGTTGTTGTATGAGTGTTGAACTTAAGCAACACTGTCACGAAAGGAGAATTGGATAAGTAGTCATTTGATAATATTTGTTGTAAAACTTTAACACAAAGTAAAATAAAATTTACAACAAAACATTATTGGCTGATTAAAATCTTTTTCACAAAAACTATTATCTTCTGAAATGGCTACTTTCGCCATCTTTTGTTTTTGATAGACGCCATTGCTGTTGTAATGGCAACCATTAAGAAAGACTATATCAATTGATATTTTTTTAAATGTTATTAATTTATTTATCTTGTAGCTTTATTAATATTAAAGTTATCTTGTCATCTTGTATTTTAGATGGTTATCATGGTAGTGTTAAAGCAAAAAGGAACAGGTCACATATAGTGAAGAACAAATCAACTATTCTCCTATATAATAAGCTTTGTGAACTTGTTGAAGCCTTAGGAATACTACTGAATATTCAGGAACTCACAGATACTGTCATCCTCCAGGTAAGACCTTTTGAAAGTAATAACCCAAGACATTTTGCTTAAAATTGTCTTTTTTTCTTTGGTATCCTTAGACTGTTGTGTGTGTGTATGTGTTTGCATAGAGATCAATCAACAATTGATCAATGAACAACCATCTTTATAAAAACGTCTTGAACTAAATTAAAAAAAAAAAACAATAAATTTTACAACATCCAACTGGCCATTAAAGAATGGTCCCCAGGACATAGGAAAGCAAAGAAAAAAGAGGTGGTCTTGGCCAGGCTCCTAATTGCCCATTCTCATCTCACACATTCTCATTTACTTAAAAATGAACTACCTCCAACATGCAACAAATGCCAACTTCCTCTAAATAAAAAGCACAGAGAATTAAGAACTTGACCAAACTTGAGTAAAATATTATCAGATACAGAACATAAAAGACCTCTTTGAAAGCATAGAATTCAACATTTTGAACTAAAAAAAAGAGATAACCTTTTATACCAAAATTTAAAAAAGAGAACCCATGATACAAATATCAAAACTATCCCCCTGCTTAGCCTTTTAAGCAGTGCAAAATACAAATACAACCAGCTCTGAATAACCTATTAGTGGTTGAAGGGTTGTTAAATACACAAATCAAACAAACAAATAAATTTAAAAATATATTGAATGTATTAAGCTTTAACTTTTCTTGGAGAAGTTGTTAAAATAAGTAATAAGTTATATTAATTAGTCTAAAAAATATTTACATTTTAAATTGTTTATATTCAAAAATCGACTTTTGTTTTTATCATTGGTTTTCTTTTAGTTTCAAATTGAAAATATTTGGAGCAAAATATTTTTATACATCAATATTTTGCTGAGAAGTTTAAAGATATAACTTCAAAGAAAGTGTTTTTGGGATATCATCTAAATAAAATATTGAAATCTCACAGATATTTGATAAGTGAAGTAAGAAAAACTGATAAAAATGGTTTTCTTAACAGTGCCTTGCCTTAAATCACATGGCATCATTTTGGGGACTGGGAATCTATTATTTTTCTTTGAAGTTTGGCTGTTAAAGCTTATATCAAAAGCATTAAACATGGGTACCTTTTATTATTAACATTTTATTTTTATCTTTAGAAACTTTTATACATCTAAAATGGAGATCTATAAAATTAGCAATATAAAACAGAAAATTATTTAAATAATATTTGTACATTTCTTGGTTTAGATTTAGCTTGGACAGTTTAAAATTCATTCAGTTTTATCTGTTTACAATGAAGTGCTGAAAAGTACTTGACCTGACCAAGAAACCCTTCAAAAAAAATAATTTGTTGGTCATTTGGTCATATATTGAAAAGTTGAGTCCCATTAAAATAGAAATTTTCAGCACCACTTGATAAGGATATCTAATCGGATCTCCATACTAAGATTTTTCCCTATCTGTCTTGGCACGGTTCCGAAAAACCTGACCAGTCATCTGAAACTAATCTTCTGTTGTCCCTGGGATGATATTATTCTTAAGCCCACACCTAATGCAAACCTTTCGCTAAAAAATTTTTAACTGTTTATATTAATAATATATATACTGCAGATGTCATCAGTTCTCATGAAACAACCCTGTTGGTGATCCCTGGAATCGGCTGACTGTTTCACCTTGTTCTTACAGACTCAAACGTAAACCAATATTTATCCTGTCTTCACATCAAACAAATGCTTATAGACGTGGGAAAAAATAATAATAATAAATATAAATAAATAAATATAAATATAAATAAATATAAATAAATATAAATAAATAAAAGAGAGACTAGTTTTGGCATTGAATGACCTAATAAATGTTGACAACCTACCCCTTTGAATCCAACCCAATTCTCATGAAAGCTATTTGTAACTGTTCTTTGCATTTGATTTCTGATTTGACTTGATTTTTTCTTTTCTTTTTTTTTTCACCAGGTCTCTACATTGGGAGTGTCACCATTTTTTGTTGAAGGCATCAGTGAAATGCAATTAAATGCAATGAAATTGGTCACAATTGTGAGTAAACATTTTTAATATTGTCATTAGTTTCTCTAATTTAAGTGGAATCTTTTGAGAAGTCATAATTTTTTTATTTATATTTTCAGTTAATGATGATTTATTATATTTCAATGTAACTTTTAAACTTAATTCTGCATTTGTTCCAAGTATTACAACTCAGAACTAACAAAATTTAAATAGCATTGTCATAATGCTAATGCTGTCATTAAAGTACAAATTACAATATCTGGGACCTAAGGAGCATGCATACAAACTAATATATATATATATATATATATATATGACTCGTTGATTTTGATGTATGAGGATCAACAACCTCATTCAGTTTTTATGTTTGTGTCGTATGTTACACACTAGTCCCACTAGTGATCTGCATACAAGTCCACATGTTGTGCAACAGCAAGGATCTTGGGATATAGTAACAAGAATATTTATTGATGCTTTTTTTCTTTCATCTCTTAGCTGGTCAATATGACTGATTTCAATGTAAACATGAATATATAATGTTGCACATTGAGTGCTGGTGTTAATAAATTAGTGCTCGATGTAATAAAATAACAACTATAAATTATATATTAATAATAAATATACATTTTCCTCCTCACCAGTAACTCGTTTTTACCAGTGAGGTAAAAAAAAAAAAAAAAATTATATATTCCTTACCGCTAGCATAGCTCTGTTATGTTACATTGAGAACTGTTTTATTAGTACCAGCACTATATGTACGATATAATTGTATGCATATATATATATATATATATATATATATATATATATATATATATCACAAGGATTTATCTTCACTTAAATCCCTTATGAATATTGGCAACATCTTTTGTTACAAGTTGATAAGTGGATTTAGTATAATATTTTGATTTTTTTTTTTTTAAATTAATTCTCTTTTATTTATGAATTTTCATGCGACACTCTCATAATTCATTTGAAATTCATTGAATCAGTTTCTCTGACTTATGTAATGTTTAATTTTTCCTCAAGAGGATATATGTTCCAAAAATTACATCTCTGATATTTAATATCTTACCCAAAACATTTCAAGCATAATAAGTATTATGAAATTAAAATTTACTAGTTTCAATTGTTAAACATATTTTTAGGCATTTTGTTATTTGATTAAAAACTTATTTGCAAATTAAAATTATTTATTTTCAGATTTTTTCAAAATATGACAAGCATAGGCAGCTAATACTTGAGGATATTTTTGCATCTTTAGCCAGATTACCATCCAGTAAACGAAATCTTCGACATTACAGGTAATTTAATTATTCAATCAAATTAAAGCATAAGAGAAGTGCTGAAACTTATCATGCAAATGTCTGTTCACACATTTGAATAGATAATATCTAAAGAAACAATTATGTATAAATTAACATGATTACAGTTACATTTTTGTAAATTTTGTTATCATTTCAGATGTTAATGCTAATTTCTTATTTTCATTTCATAAACTTAGTTGAATGATGAAATGCATATAGGCATGAAATAAATATCATATACGCAAACACATAATTCACATTTCAAATAAACTGAGTGTGATTGATTTGCTAAAGATTTATAAAGACTGAGTCACCTTGGAAATAAGGACTGTAATGTGATTTGAAACATAAACATGCCAGTGATAAAAGTAATGTTTAGTAAGAAGATTCTTTCACACTTGCTTTTATTAAAAAATTTAGTTGGTATCCTCATCCCACTTCAAGCAGTGTTGTGCTTGGTCAGTACTTACTTGGGGATGGTTGGGAACACTGGCTACTGTAAGCAACTACCTACAATTCGAAATATGTTTCAGCTTTAAATAACTCACAAAGGGTTGATAAACCATAAAAAAAACAAATCAATCAATCATCCCACTACAAGCACTGTAATAAGATCCACACTTTAAAGAGAAGTGTTTGCTTCATTTTGAATTTTGATTTAGCAACAACTTTCATTGTGTTATTTTATGCAACAAATGCCGACTAACAATAATTTTGAGTATAATTTGCCTGTTTCAGGTTAAATGCAGAAGAATCAATTCAGATGGTCACAGCTCTTGCATTACAGTTGATTCAATGCGTTGTCAAAGTTCCTAAGCCAAAGCCCATAATTCATGATTTAACTGGTGAAGAGAAACCACCAGAAAAAAACTCCAAGGGGAAGGTGAGTAATCTTTTTTTCTCTCTCTCTCTCTCTCTCTCTCTCTCAAAATATGAGAGGTTTTCTTTTTGTTTATTTCACTCTAACACTTATAAAATATTTGTGTAGTGTAGAGGTTATCAGCATGGAAAGGGGGAATGGTTTGGTGAGTTCACATTCCTGCCAAGGTCATTGCATTCGCTTTCACACAAATATCTTTGGACAAGGTATGAATCTAGCACTCCCCCTCTTTCTAGCTATTGGTTAAATAGCAGAACAGACTTGGTTCTCTCAGGTGTTAACTGATCTAGAAGAACTCTGAATTCAAAACTGGTTGTTTTTTTTTAGCTAACAGCTCCACCCCATAAAGAACTACCTACTACATAAACCACAGCAGCAACACTTTGTATAGTAAAGCTGTAGCCTAATATCACCAGGGAGTTTACAGGGTTAACATAACGTAACACTTATTACAGAAATGTTACATTGATATGCTTATAGAAATTAAGCAACTTGAGTATGAAGCAGGAAAATGTTAGTTTTATTATTTTTAGTGTATCAAAAGAAGTTGGGAGTGAAGGAATTAGCAATTCGCCAATTAAGATTAATAGCAGCCAGCTTAAAACAATATTAGAAAAGATATTTTTCCTTTTTCTACTTAATCTGTATATTTTCTGTTATCCAGTTTGTAAATTTTATTGCAAGTATAACATCTTCTTTTTTGGTATTCTTTAATAGCCAGTCATTCTGTTAATTGTTCAATGCATTTTTCTTTTTTCTTTGATATTTTTCTCATTATATTTTATAAGTTTATTTTCATCACTATCATCAAATGTGGTGTCTTAGAACAATAAGTATCCAGATCATAGATAAATAGTGGAAAGAACTGATAGAGAAACTTGATTTTTCTTAGATCTTTAAGAAAAACTAAGAATTTTTAACTCTGTTGAATATTAAACTCATGAAATATTTATATCTGATAATAATTCCAAGTATGGCAAGGATTTATTACTATTGACCCTGATTTGTCCCAATTTTGCAAATATTTTAGATAGAATCAGTAATATGAAATAATCTCATTTTAATGTTAACTTATAAGATCATATTATTTCTTCATATAATGGTCAAGTATATGAATATTTGTCAATGTTTTTCATTTCTGCTTTTGGTTCCATCATAATTTTATTGTATTTATTTTTTTTTCTTCTTTACAGACGGACAACGATGTGCTAATTGTGACATCATATGAAACAGCCATGAGGACTGGATATAATTTTTTATCAGTTTTTTTGAAAAAGTAACTACAAATTTTTGTTTTAGTTTTCCTTTCATAAACTTTTGGAAACTTATTGTTATTTATTATATTTTTTTATTGGTGCATTTGTTCTAACATTTATTTTTCTTTTGCTTCTGTAAAGGAAATTGTCTTTGGGTTTGTGGATGTTACACATGAACACAATTTTTTTCCCTTATTTACCAAATCATAATTGAAATAACCTGAACCACTAAGTGATTGGCTTACTATTAGTAATGAAATATTACTAGGTTTTAATGCATATTTTAGACACTGCCAGATTTTATTATGTAATTCAGTGTTTTTACAATAAAATAGTAATTAACAAACATATTGGCAAAAAATTTTACGATGTATTTATATGATAAATATATCAGGTAAATTTCAGCAGGTAATATCTTTTAAAATATTTACAATAATTTATTGATAGTGTAGGATTTTATTATGCAATGTGAGGATTGTCCATCATTTTATAAGTATTATAGTTATTGATATATATTATTTAATTTCAAATATATGAAGATATCCATGGGTTGTAAAAAAAAAATCTAAACTCAAAAAGAAGCAAGATATCATTAAGTTATTGTGTAACATGAATACAACATTGGAAATTGCAAAGATAGCAGAACAAAAAAAAAAAAAACAACTTTTGTTAAGAATATTGCAAAAAGAGATTTGCAAAAAAATAAAGCGGTAATAAGCAAGAATAAGCTTTATTGCCTTGCTTGTGATGAAATGATTAAAAAAAACAATACCAAGGCCATTCCTCTAACAAGTTATCAATATTTTAAACAGTAAACTGAAACTCACATGATATACTGTTTCTCTAAATATGTATCCTGGAAATTTTAGCAACATCAGTTGGTTAATATTAATTATGTTGTGAAAACATTAAAGTCTAATAAAATCTGAGATAATGTATATAAAAAAGAAATATTAGATGCCAGGCAATACTCTCTGTCTGCTGAATATAGCAGTGGCCGATGTAATTGACATTTTCAGGAAGATGACTTGTCAGTATAATTATGCACAACCAAAGCATAATTTTCAGTGCTTACAAATTGTTTCATAAGTAGTATCACAGCTTTAGCATGATCAATGTATCTAAAGATTTACAAAATGAATATGACAAGATAATTTTCAATAGAAGGTGCTACTTGAAAGTTTAGAGAATTTGACCATGAAAAAGATAGAAAAATTGTCTTTATAGTTTCCAGTTCTTTCTTTGGTAAATAAGAAAAGATGGTAAAAAAAATTACATTTGGATTGCGTTCATGCTGTTCACATTATTCTAACATTTGGATAGCACCTCATTTATTAACTTAAAAAAATATTAATGAACTTCACAGAAACTTTCTTTTATAGAAACCTGTACCTCAAATTGATACAGGTCACCATCTCATTTAATAATTCTTTTGAAAGAATGACTGATGGAGTGCTGTCTTGATAAATATGTTTATAAAGAATGATTACAATTTTAAATCATTATGCAGATGATGAATTAAAAAACAAATCTAATCAGATGTTAAAAATTAACACAAATGCAGTTTTTGAAAAACAGCAAAAAAAAAAAAAAAAAAAAAAAAATTCAAGATTAATTATTAGTTCATGACAGTTTTAAGGTTTGTTTTTTTTTTTTTTCAATTTTTTTTTTTTTTTTAAATTTTTTTTACCTTTTTGATGTTTATCATATTCTCATTTTTTTTCTTTCTTTTCTAGGTGTACAGCAAAGGGTGAAGATGATTATAGGCCACTATTTGAAAATTTTGTTCAAGATTTACTTTCAACAGTCAACAAACCCGAATGGCCAGCTTCAGAGTTACTGCTAAGTCTTTTGGGGAGAATTCTTGTAAATATTAATTGCTTACATTTTTTTGCTAGTGAAAACATTTTGTTGAAGATTATTTGAACTCTATTCAACTATTCATACTTGATATTTAATATATATTGAAAAAAGTTGTTTAGTTAGTATTGAATGGTTTTGGAGACAATTTGATATTCTACTCCAGTTTTTAATATGTTTCTAGCATGTTCTGCTTATGTTCTTTAGGCAGAAGAGTTTTCATTTTTTCCCCACTTTGACAACAATTTCATATTTTGACAAAGAATTTAAAACAATAATACTTAGTTGACTAATCCCACGAGGATTTGTTTCATTCTTTTAACATCAGTTTCCAGTATAAAAAGAGGTCAAAACTTTTTACTCTCTCTCTCTCTCTCTCTCTGTCACACACACACACACACACACACACCTTTCATTTGAAATTTGAATAAAAATCTACATTTTATGAATTGAGAAAATTCCTTCAACTCCTTTTTTTTTTTAAGTAAAGTTTTAAATTCAACTGATCACAATTTTTTTTTTATCTATTTATTGTGAGTTTCAACTTATACTTCTCAATTTAACTACATTAATACAAGCACATACATACAGAGTGGTCCAAAAGTTTCCACCTCTACATAACCCTAACCCTGGCACTGCATCATTTTGTACCACGAAAATGATCGTGTTCATACAGACCTTCTTGATGTGTGACAGCATTAATGAAAGTGAATAAACTGAATCCAGTACATGAGCTTTGTATTAGTGTATTATTTGTTCCTCTACTGTTCTCATTACATTTTGGTAGGGGGTGATAAGTCTTTTGGACCAACCTGTTCAAAACATTATTCTCAAGATTTTGATGGCAAACTACTTCATTAATTGGTTTGGTTTCTGCTTAATGGCCCTTCAATCACTGTTGGGTTATTTAAGTCTAGATAAAGGCTTTGAATTGTAGTTGTTTTGGGTATAGTTTGATTTTATATGTGGCTCAAGTACAGGTTGGTGAAAGTTTTTTTTTTTTTTTTAATCAGTTATTAGAGATGCTGGTTTCTAATACAGGTTACTTTTTATTCAGTTTCTGATATATGTTGGTTATTAAAGTTTGCATTGTTATTTTTAGTGGGGATCTTTATGAAGTTTGAATAGTTTTTTCTCTCCCCTTTTTTCAGTGTTCAAAATATATTAAAGGTTTTATGTAGTTTTTTGGTAGTTTTTAGTTTTTTTTTATTTTGGTATAAAGTTTAATTTCGTTTAAGAAATTAAGGATACTGTTTGGTTTAGTGTTTTGAAAGTGTTTATATTGTTTGCTTGATAATATTTTGTTTAGGCTTGACTGAGATGGCAACTTATTAGTATATGTTTGTTTAAGTGGCACTTGACATCTGTTGCATGATGGAAGAGTTTCATTTTTTAGTAGATGTGAGTGTATCAGATGTGTATGTCCTATTTGGAATTTGGATAAAGCTATTTCCTCCTGCCTTATTTTTCTGAAACCTGGGAGTTATTCTTTTATAGTTGGTTGTATTGGGATAATATATTAGAGGGTGCTGAAAAGTTCTCTGTCAAAGAATGCCCTTCTTTTAAAAAAATGAATCTGATATTTGATTGTTTGACTAGATTTTGCTAAGTTGGTTTGGTCAAGAACTTTTCATCACCCCCTCATATGATACCTGTTAGTTACAACATGCAGCAAAGCAGCAAAAAAAGCATATAAAAATAGCTTTATTTTATTTATTTTTTAAAAAATTAGAATTTAAACAGGATAACCATCAATAGCTGTGATGTGAATTCAAACAATTCCAGTGGTTTGTTTAAAGGGGATAAATCCTTCAGAATTTTAGAGGTTGTACTGACTGAAAATATAAGTGATAAATTTATAAATAAATGAAAAAAAAACTGCTTAAATAAAATTGTTAAATTTTAATATTTATTGGAAGTTTAAATACCGGATTAATTTAAAAGGAAAAAATATCAAATTCAGATAGAAAGAATATCAAAGTCTGGAAATGTTTAAGAAAGTCTGCTTAATGTGAATCATGTTTATTTTTTCTCTTTGTAGGTTCAACAGTTTAGTAACAAATCTACAGATATGTCATTACGAGTTGCTTCCCTTGAATACCTTGGAATTGTTGCTGCCAGACTAAGAAAAGATGCTGTATCTAGTCACATGGACCAGGAAACAATAAATGACATTGTAGATAAGGCAAGATTACATTATATTTTTTATGATGGTCATTTGAGCTATTCTACTTTATTGTTTAGTTTGACTGTTTTCATAAACTGGATTGTTTTTATACTATTCATTTTAAAAGCTTTTAACAATAGTTTTTGAACAGAAATATAAAATCATTCATATCAACTTTAATGATAATAATGAAACATACAGAAATTGTGAGCAAGATGGACTCATTAGAATATATTAAAGATATTGTCATGGTTAATATAGAGAAATATATTTTCTTTAAATGGGGATAGGATTAGGCTGCCAAAATTTGCTTTAATGCTATAATAAAATAATTTTTAAATTGACTCCTGTTTATGTAATAAATAAATATGAAGTAAAAATTTTAGAAAGACAAATGTTGTTACTTGAAACAATTTAAGAAAGAAAACACACTTCTATGAAAACTGTTGTGAAATCTTTCGAATTCCAGTTGAATCTATTACATTCACTTACGTGCTAATACCCTTTGGAAAGGTATGAATTCTCCCTCCAGCTATGGGTAAATAGCAGGACAGACTGAGTTCTATAGCCTTGGATGGCAACTGATCTACCGCAGAAAGAAATGGCAACCTACTGTAGGAAAAAATCTGCCTCATCAGTCATGTATCGAAAGATACATGATTGCCTAAGTGTGTATCATGCATGGCATTTAAAAAAAAAAATATATATTTTTGTTTCAGTTTGTTTGTTGTTGCTTATTTTATTTTCATAATTTTAATAATATTTTTTCTCTTCCTTAATAGGCGATCAATTCTCGAACAGAAAGGAAAGATTCTACCATGGTATGTTATTATCAACAGCATAGTGTTTTGTAATAAAGGCAGTAAGAAATGATGTATTTAGATCTAAAAGTTCCATATTATTTACACTTGGCAAATTAACCTTGATTTTCTTACTATCATAATAAGCATAACACTCTTATGTAAAATCTTTTTTTGTTATGCCAGTTTGTTAAATGAGCCTAATTACCAAACTGCCTGAGAAAGAACTCCAAACATTTCAGTTGTCAGTTTTTTGCTCTTATAAACAAATCATGCTTACATGTAACTATTTATAGCTTTATAGGATGTGGATTTTTACTTTGTTCAAAAGAGTTTAATATAATTATTACTTAACATTTTTCTTTATAGCTGAATGATTGAATATAAAATCAATTCAACATGTGTTGTACATTGGAATACATTACTTATTGAACTATTAACACAAAAACATTTATTACTATTTATTTTTACTTGTTTAAACTTTGATATTAACAAAATAATGATTTTAGATTTACTAAGAAATAATTTGCTTGTTTGTTGAAATAATTCTTTAAAAAAAGAAAAGTTTTACTCAGAAGTTTTTGAATATATTTAGATTTTTAAATTGCAAATTAAAAGGTATTATATATAAAAAGTAGATTATTTGGATACAAATGCCTTTACAATTGTAATTTGAATTTTAAACACTTATTGTTAAATTGTTTCTTTTATGTAAAAATGTGGCTTGATGTATCAACCCATTTTCATATTTATTATTAGGCTAATATAGATGATGAGTGCAGACAGACTGAATGCCTCCAAAAAGCATTGTTAGATTATCTTGCAGAAAATGGGCAAAGTGAACCTGCTTTACTAGTGAGTATATTTGGTTTTAGAAAATGGCATGACTCTTTCAATTATGTTCTCATTGATATCATTATTTGATGGTTTGTCTAAAAAATTGCATAGCTTTTGTGATGATGGTTGGTTGGCTAATGAAGTTGTATTGTGTTTTGTATTATGTTTAAAAAGAAGTTTAAAAGCAATAATCTGATTTTGACTGTGATGTCATATTTTTGTAAAGTTTTTGGAAATAATTTTTATTATATGTTCCTGTCAGCTGTCATATTTATCATAGAATACTTTAGCGCCTGATATCAATTTATAATATGTATTAAATCTTTGGTACCATATCAATTAAATAAAATTTTCTAAGTGCAATATCATATAATACAGTTATAAAAATGTAAAGATAGGTTTAGTTTGGTTTGAATTTTAACATTCATGAAGTCTTAGTAGATTATTTTAGCATTTTCATTACAAGTACACTGAATAGTTTTGTAATGAAAATGATTTTCACTTTAAATTTTATATTTTCTTTATGATTCAGTGTCATATAAGCAAATGTTTCATTTTTTTTCTTTGATTTAAAGTATATAAAATTTACTTATATTTGCTCATATATTCTGTTTAATGTATATAAAAATGTTTTGCTTTGAATTAAAAAAATGGAAAATAAAATTGAATTCACGATAAATTTTAGAATTTGTTTAAAATTGGAAGATTGATTTGAAATGTTGATAGAATTGTGTGGGACCTTTCAACCTCCTACTCCAAATTTACTATTTGACAAGGTGTGCATTTATGTAAAACAATTTATTTTTAACTGGTAGCTAATTCTAATTTACATATGAAGTTAAAAGTAACTTTAAAATAGAGTATTTCATTAGACTTAAATAGTTATTAATTTTGTTTTTCATTTTACTTGATTCCTTTGACTGTAAAAGATTTTGATTATGAAATGTAGAATTACAATGTTTTCAGTTTTTGAATAGCAACAAGGATTTACTGTTCATAAATATATGAAATGAGCATAGAGACTATGATGCATTATTTACTTATAATGAACATTATTTCTAGTTCAAAAACACCACCTGCTTAGTTCTACATCCATGTATTTGAGTTTAATATTAAAATATCTGTCTTATGATTTTAGTCACAAAATATTTTTCTTTTGTTTATGACTTGATATATATATATATTATAACTTTTCATAAATATTAAATTCTAATCCAGTTTTTAAATAATCTCTAACTCCTATAAGCCTCTAAATTTGTCTTTTATTTTCTCCATTGTTTTAGTTTTCACGGTCATTCTACATAGCCCAGTGGTATAGGGATACGGATATGGAAGCTGAGAAGGCTTCGAAGAAAGGAGCTCGGGCAGAGAAGGATGGTGATGTTGAAGAAGTGGACAGAATTACAGATTTAATCACAAATTCAGAGAAAAAGAAAAAGTTTTTACTTTCAATGGTACCAGTGAATCACAAGCCTCTGGGCTCTATGAGGTAAGCCTTTTAGTTGAAATTCAGATTTCTTGTTTTAGATTTAATCTTTTATGTTTTTATCTTAGAAATGTTTCTTTTCTTTTTTTCATTTACAAAAGAAAATGTAGACGGGAATCATCACAAAGTGTTATCTTAACCTTTGAAAAATAAGTACGGAAACAATATTGACTTTAACCAACATTATTAAAACCCTAATGTGCAAGTGGAGAGGTTTTTTTTTTTTTTTTTAAATAGCAAGATTATGGAATTTTAGTGCAAACTTTATTTTGTATATTATATTTTGGGAATAATTTTCCTTAGCTGTAAGCTAAAACTATTGATGAGATATCCTAATGAAAAAAATCCTATCTTCTGTAATCATTCAGGACAGAATAATGGAGATGTCCTGTAACATGTATAATTTTATGTGGATTATTTAAAGAAATGGTTTTTATTGCATGTTGCCAGTTATAGAAAAACAATCAATAAAATGGAAATTCTTTTTTTTTTTTTTTTTAAATTGTTTTGTATTTTAACCCAAACCTGACTTATGACTTTTTTTTTAAATAGGGCTAATGATCTGCATTTTTTGCATTTTTATTTTATATTATTACTATTCTGTTCCACAATGAAATCTTCATTTTTTTTTTAATTCTCTAGACAAATGCAAGAAAAAAAATCTCTTAAAGTAATGTTTTCTTATATATTATTCAGCCTATCATGTGATTAATTGTGCTTTCTTCTGAAGATTGTACATTATTTTCATTTTCCAGTGATATTGTTTTTGTATTTTTTAAATCGATTTTAATGCTTCCTTTTTTTTGTTGTTTCAGAACATCTCAGAATATTCTCAGTTACCAAGAAGCTTGTTTAGCAGCCCGGTATTTGAGTTCAAAGAGACCATTTGCTTTGAGTTTTGACATTTACTTAACTCAGGTAAGAGTACAACTTTATTTGTTAATTTTTAAATCTATTACTAATACATTATTTACATTGTTCAGACTGTTGTCCTCATCTTTATTGTCATATCCGCAGTGTTTCAATCTTCTTTCACTGATATACATTGGAACTTTGAACTGACTCTGTTAGTCCACGGGGGAGTAGATTATTCTAGTTCCACATGCTATGCCTTTTCTCAGTTTCAATTAATTCCCTTTAGTAATTAAACTCTTCAATTTTTTTTCACTTCTGTTGTGACCAGGTATTGAACTCACAACTTTTTGGGTCAAGTCACTTTTGGATTGCTACAATCAACATCGTGAATATGACAATAAAGATGAGGACAACAGTCTGAACAATATAAACAGTTACAATACCTCATCTCAGAAATATAGACACATAGTAATACATTAGTTACTATATTTTAACAAGCTTTATTTTCTTACAATTTTGAAAAATATGTAATCAGTATACATTATAAACTGTTTTATGTTCAACACAATGTATAAAAGAAAAGGCATCAATTTTTGGTGAAACAGTTCATTATTAATTCAAAATCAAACATGTTTATATAGTTTACCATTAAATTACAATATTTTAATGTTATCTCTTCAGAGATAAAACCATTGAGATTAATACTGGTTTTTAATGTATTTCTACCTTAAAAAGTCACATACCTGTTTATCACTCATCCGAAAGAAGCAATTATTTTAAATCACCTATGCCTTGAGAGGGATGTAGGCTATCATGGCTCTCCATAAATTCCTTTTCTTTATCTGTAAATTGCTATGATTTCTTGGGAAAGATAGTGGAGTGGTTTATCATTGCATTCTCTACAGTTTTGAAATCATCATAGTCTTCCTCCTAGATTGGCTGCCAAATCTAGAGAGCCCAGTATACCTTACTATTTAATAGAAGAGTTTAACCCATACCCTTCCCAAGGGCATAGTATGAAAGTGAACACAGCAGACTAGTCCAGAATTTAAATGTTATGGAGGATATTTACTCTATTGCTCAATACTGCGTTTTAAGATTGATGCCTACATAGACATATGAACATGATGATTCATCTATTTTAAATTATTTTTCAGATTTTGCGTGTACTTAGTGAAACAGCTGTTGCTGTACGAACAAAAGCCATGAAATGTTTGTCTGCCGTTGTAGAAGCAGATCCAGGAATTCTTGCCAGGGTATAGGATTTATTTTTTTATCTTTTTTATTTTTTTCTTACAAATGTTTTTCATAAAATTATTTATAAACAATTTATTTCTTTGAGTGGGGAATAATTAAAACAGTGTTTTTTTGTTTTAGAATATTAGTTTGAACATTGTTTACTTTTTGTATATTATTGCTAGCACACTTGTTCTGCATATGAAAACAGATATTTTTTTTGTTCTTAATTTATAAAAACATTTATTTTAAATAAAGAACATATATATATATATATATATATATATATATATATATATATACACACACACAAAAATTGTATATAGCAATTCCTCTTTTATGCAAGTTTTGTTAAAAACAATTGACAAGGTGCCGTGGTTAAGTTTTTTTTATATAATTTTGTACATTCAATTTTAATTTTTGGTCAGGTGTTTTATATGTCAAAAGCACAAGAATATTAAAAAATTATTTAAAAAATAATCAATTAGTCACTACTTAAATAGACTGATTCATTAGTAAACAAAGGGAAAATTGTGGGGGGATATTTTTTAGATTAATATTCATTAGAACATTTTCAAGTCATGACATTTGTCAGAATAAAAAAATATTGATTCTTTATCAATTTAATTTTTCCATAAATAAAAAAAAGTAATGAACCTTTAAAATTGAGTAGAAAAAATGCATTTATACTGAATTCACTTTTTCATTGTGTGATAAATAAAATTATTTGACATCTTATTAACTTAATTTGATAGTGATGATTTTGTTCTAATAAATAAGCAAATGATTTCTCATTTAGATTCACTTCTTTGTTTTTATTTGTCAGGATGATATGCAAAGGGGTGTCCATGGTAGATTTCTGGATCAGTCAACTTCAGTACGTGAGGCAGCCGTTGAACTTGTTGGTAAATTCATATTGATCCGTCCAGAACTCATCCCCAAGTATTATGACATGTTATGTGACAGAATATTGGTGAGGACTTAGCTTCTTCATTTTTCTTGTCTTATTTCACTCCACCTCTGTTCTTATGTTAAAAAAAGAACTAAAATCAATAACTGCAAAATAATGTATTCTCTAACATATTTGTATAATGAAGCCTATTAAAATTTGAGTAAAAGAATTTCTTCTAAATAATTTTTGGTGGTTGAGGGAATTTTGTGAAAGTCCATTTTCAAAATTAGTACCACATTGTGGCAAGATATGATAGCAGATATAGTAGATGCTGACTTTTTGTGTTTATCTGATTTCTTTTAAAGTGAGTACAGGATGTCTTAAAATAAATGCAGAAAGTGAAAATTGAAGTATTTTAAACAATTATGTAATTAATAGATAGATTTATGTATGATGTAATAAGTGAAAACCAGCTGGATGATTTAAATAAAATATATGTAAAGGCTTTTCCTTATTCCATTTTACATATTTTGTTTAGATATTTCATATTTAAAGTTTTATTTTCTTGTTAACATTTCACTCTTTATGAAAAATATATACAAGTTGAGTATCCTTTATCTGAAAAACTCCAAAATTCGAGAATTGTTCTGGTGCTGACACAAATAGAAAATTTCAGAAAGCACTGGAAAGGTTCCTAGGTGATCATCTGCCCTGGGTTAGGGATCCCCATCCAAGCTACATAGCCTATATTGGCACCAATTTTTTGTTAGTGATTGTCACAGCAACGCATTCAGGGATTACTTACCAGGTGTTTTGTGCTCAATAAAGATATTATTCAAAATGTCAAAAAGTCCTGCATTTGTATATTTTTTGTAACTAGTGATCATGTTTTTGTACATGTATAGAAAGTAAAAAACATTATTTTTTCATGAAATCTCCCCACTTAAAAAAACATTCGTCAGAGCATTACATGACTAGCATCATTACCTGTATCTTAAAATTTTATATATATAACACTAGCTACCAATGGGGTCACATTCTTGGTCATGGTCACCAATTAATGTAACACCTTTTGCTGCTGCCTACACCCAGTGGTGTAACCACGTTTTAGTGGTCCGTTCCTCAGTGTCTTAGAATGCCGTTTTAACCATGGGGCTAACTGTGCTGGTCAATGCTGATGCTGGTCCAAGCTGGTTGTTGGTTGCTGGCCGCTTTGATCCACACCAACTCTGTCCACACTGTGTTTTTGATCTCAGAACAGTGGAAAATTGAAGGTCGTAGTCCTGCAGTGCTGGTTCAATCTATGTCAGATGCTATATTAAGGAAAAAATTATCTTCACAATGAAAAATAAAATGAGAGATTCGTGGGGTTAATCTTCACTTGGTTTATATAGCCCTTGGTACAACAAAAATTAACCCTTCCTGCATAAATCTCTATAGTGACACTGGACCTTGTCTAAACTTCTAGAGGAGCTTGGTTCAAAGTCTTGGAATCAGGAAATCTGGTGACAGCTGATGTGGATTTCAGAGGCACTTGATGCAGGTTCTCAGTCCAAAGTCTCTGAGCTCTCCAAAGTCATCTGCTGATGTGCACTTCGGCCCAAAACTGGTGTGTGGCCAAAGAGTTCTGAGGAATAAAGGTTTCTTTTGTTCCCTATTTCTGCTTTCTTAACCAACTTTCCAAATTTAGAGAACTATCCACCTTCCTTGGGAGTAGTCACAGGTATTGATCCTCCCTTAACTCCAATCTGCTTCACTTCACGTCTTGCACTGCTACTCCTCACAGGTGGGGCTAAATTCTGCCCCTTCCTCCTTCCTTCTAGGTATTCTAACTCTGCCTACTTCTCATGGCTGGCATAACTGTCTTTGTGACAAATCTAATTTTTAAAGTTTGTAGGAGAAAGGGGTTTATTCTCCTCATTAATTCAATTCACTGACTCCTTTCCTGGACCCATCTGTCCAGTGAAAATACAAACCAGATTACCTTCTCATTCTAACTTTCCGAGTGATAAATAAAAATGATTTCCCAATTTTTGTCACTGAAAATATATTTGTTCACCTAAATTCTCAACAAAGAGACATGCTGTTTTCCATACTTGGGCTCGTTGCCATCTTAGCAAAAACATAAACCAGATCACCTGCCTGTTATGATGGATTGATTATCATAATCCTAACACTTGCAGCGGGTTCATTCTCTGTTTTCATTTCTCAATTTGTTTTTGCTAACAAAAATATAATTCCTGTCTATTTCTCTTTTCACCAATGATGTTTCTTTTCTAATTTCTCAAGAAAGAGATAAAGCCATTTCCGAATTTGCTTTACCAGCATGCCAGATTTTCAATTGTTAAAAAAAAAAAGTAAACTCTTTGTGCATTGTTCCAATTCGTAGGGGTGATGCAATCCAGATGGCCCTTTCTTCACTTCCACATTACCAGGGAAAATGTCTTCCATTCTCTCTTTCTGTCTCTATCTTCCACTTTATATTTCTGCTTGGAGTTAATGTTTAATCACCACACAGCCTTAGTGTCACATATAAAACTATTTTCAGGGTATATGTGCTATTAAATATAAAGGGATATTGTGTTTATGCTTGGGTTCCATCCCTAAACTGCCCCATTTTATAGTTGCTATATACAAATTAAATAGCCTGTATTTGAAAATCTGAAAATCAAAGCATTTCCCGTCTCAAGAATTTTGGATAAAGGATTCTCAGCCTGTACTAGATCTCTACACTAGTTTGGAAATAGCACTAAATAATAATTCATTTATAATGTAAACACTAGGAACTGATATTTCACACTGCCTTGAAAACACATTGACAGCAGGCAATATAAGCTTTGTAAAGATGTATAAGTACATCTTAAAAACGTATATATATGTCAACAGAAGACAATGTAAGTTTTTTTAAAGATGTATAAGTGCATCTTGAAAACATATATATACATCAAGAGAAGCCAATGTAAGTTTTGTAAAGACTTATAAGTATGTCTTGAAAATGTATATCTATGTTAACAGAAGGCAATGTAAATTTTGTATGGATGTATAAATACATCCACAGCAGCAGAAGTGTTAATCTGTTCCTTTAAAGTAGTTTTTTTTTTTTTTATTGCACCAGAAACAGAGAGATGAAGATATCTGTTTGTTATCCAGTCTCAGGCACTGTTATCAAATTACCATTTCTGTAATATTCATGATTCGTAATAATTTTTCAGAATGACTGTCATGTTTAGGGTTAGCTTAAATTATTATTCTGATTTATGAAAGCAGTTTATTACTTTTTTTTAGCTCTTGTCTTAATGCACCAATAAGTTAGTATTGAAGTATAAATATTGTCATAATTTTCTTTTTGTAGGACACTGGTATCAGTGTACGCAAAAGAGTGATCAAGATTTTCAAAGACATTTGCTTGGAGCAGCCTGATTTCCCCAAAATTCCAGAGATGTGTGTGAAAATGATTCGTCGAGTGAATGATGAAGAAGGAATAAAGGTAACTGTAGTGATACTAGCAAATTAGTATGCATAATTTGCATAAGCATAAGTGAACACTCATGTAAGTGGTCACTGGGAATAATGAGGTAGAAGTACGAGCTTAGCGGCTGATTAGTGCTAATTTCAACTTCACAACAATGGCGTCGCCGATAGGATATCAATTGTCTCTGGAAGATCCAGATTTCGTGGATACATGGATTCGTTGTTTCTCTGCCACTGCAAGAACAAAAAAGTTGAAAGACAACAAGGAAAAGGGAGGCGAAAATGAAATCACGGATTTATTTTTGGCTACAGCTGGATGCGAGGCGTTAATGAAAGTCTCCACCATGGCATATTCCTTAAATTTGGAAGACCTGACTTTCGAAAAAATAAGTCAGATTATATGAAGAAATATGAGACCCAATATTTACACCGTCTACGAAATGCAAGTAGATATTGTGAATTTGAAAAACTTGGACAAGACGAACAGACTATTGAAGAGGACTTGATTCAATTAAGGTTGACGATTGAAGGTATGTCCAATGTGTCACACCGATATAAAATAATGGAACAATTACAAATAGGAAATATGTCTTTAAATACATGTATTGATTTTATGCAGCAACAAGAACTAATACAGATATACAACCATTATAAAAGTCAACCCAGCGAACAAATATTCACTGATACGTACATGTTAAAGAAGATAAAAAAGTGTTCGTATTGTGGACATGAACATGAAATGAAAAAGGAAAAGTGTCCAGCATTTGGAAAAACTTGTAATAATTGCTTAAAAAAGAACCACTTTCAAGCAGTGTGTAAATTAAAAAAGAAAAATGTTGAAAGAATTGAAGAAAACAACAGCAATAAGGAAATTTTTACATTAAAAAATAAAACTTTAAAAAGAATTGAACATAAGAAAAAAGACATTATAGTAAAGGTCAAAATTAATAACTGCAATTTAGATATGCAAATGGATACTGGGAGTGAAGTAACACTGATACCAAAAAAATTTTGGGGAAACACATTGGTAAGCCACCTTTACGAAAAAAAAGCAGTTTACAACTCTGCCAATTTGATGGGTCGGTTATAAAAAAATATTAGGATACTTTGAAGGTTCATTAGAGTTAAAAGAAAATTTGAAGTAATACCTATAGTTGTTACAAGTTGCAAAAAAAAACACAGGCTTATTGGAAATGATGTGCTTAATATAAGTTCTACTAAGTTAATTAATGAAATAAAAATGGAAAAACTGGAAAGTTAAAAACTGAAGCAAGTTTAAAAGTAAAAAGAAAATGTTTCCCCCTTATTATGAGGCACAAAATTACCAGTACATTTATTGCCATTAGTAGTGACAAAACTACGAAATTAGTAGAACAAGACCTTCTTGAACATGTTCCACCTGGAGGTAGCAAGTGGGCATCACCGATTGTAGTTTTGAGGAAAACAGATGGTGATTTATGTATTTGTGGAGATTACAAAATAGGAGTAAATCACAAGATATGCTCGGATTCATATCCCATACCCAATGTTGAACTTGCATTACATGCACTGGCAGGGATGTCCGTTTTTTCAAAAATAGATTTAAAAACGGCATACCACCAAATACCAATAGACAAAAATTTCAAAGAAGTAACCACGATAAATACGCCAATAGGGTTACTAAGATGGAAAAGGATGCCATATGGAATAAAAACCGCAAGCGCCATATTTCAAAGGGCCATTGAACAGGTTTTAGAAAATGTACAAAATATGATTTGTTACCAAGACGACATATGCACAGGAGCTACTAATGAAAAGGAATTAAAAGAGAAAACTGACTTAGTCTTGAATAGATTAAGAAATACTGGAATGACGATAAATGAAAAAAAATGTGTAAGGAATTCTAACAAAATATCTTTTTTAGGTTATTCCATTTCAAAAGAAGGTATATCACCAGACCAAGTCTTGATAGAAAAAAATACTAAAAGTAGCTATACCTACAAATAAAAAAGAATTAGTCTTTTTTGGGATTGGTAAATTTTTACAGGCGATACTTATCAAAATACACGGACTTGACGGAACCGTTTGCAAATTTAAGAAAAAAGAATGTGGAATTTATGGGGTCAGACGAACAGCAAAAAGCTTTTGAAAGATTAAAAGAAATTATGTCAAAGAAAACCTGTAGTGAAAATTTTTGATCCAAAAAGGACATAACACTCACTACAGATGCAAGTGAACATTCAATATCGGGAATATTATCACAAGAAGGACATCCGATAATGTATTTGTCGAGAAGGTTAACGAACACTGAATTCAATTACTCGAACATAGAGAAAGAAGCATTGGCTATCGTGTGGACAACTACCAGAGCCCAATTTTTAATTGGGAAAAAATTTCTATTAAGAAGTGATCATAGACCATTAGAGTTTATATTTAACCCAAGGAAAGAATTACCCAAAGTCACGACATCAAGGATTCTATGATGGGCGATAAGATTGATGACATTTGACTTTGATATAAAGTATGTCAAAGGAAATTCAATTCCACATATGGACGCACTATCAAGATTGAGGTTCTACAAGGAGTCAAAAGATAAAACAGAGGAAGAATTTGAAGATTCATTCCTACATTTGATACAGACTGATGTTTTGTCTTTAGACAGAATGGCTGCGGAAACTAGACATGATCCAGTGTTAAGTAGGATAGTATCAAGAATAAGAAAAAAACTTGTGGGGAAATTGTTCTAGGGCGGAAAGACCCTATAAAGAAATAAGACAGAAATTAACAATAGAACATGGAGTGATTTGCAATGGGGACCTGGTAGTTCACCCCCCAAAAAAAAAAAAACCAATAATAGAAAGTGTACATGATGATATACACTGTGGGAGGCATGCCACACAAAAAAAAGATAAAATTAGAAGCTTGGTGGTCGGGATATTCAAGAGACGTTGAGGAATATGTAAAAAAGTGTAAAAAATGTAAAGAATTAAGAAACTTTACACAAACCAAATTACATTTGTGGCCCAAAGAAGTGGAGCCATGGAGTCGTGTGCATATGGATCATGCATACATTAATGGAGTGGGACTCTTATTAATACTAGTAGACTCTTTTTCAGGTTGGCCTGAAATAATCAGGGTTACAAACAAGAAAAGTTCTACGATAAAGCAGATTCTAAGAGTCATATTTTCCAGAAATGGTGTACCAAAAACCTTGGTATCTGATAATGCACCAGAATTTTGTGAGGAAGAAATAGGGTGTAAACCATATGACACCTCCATATCACCCTCAATCAAATGGATTAGCAGAAAGAATGGTACAGACCGTAAAAAAGGGGCTAAAAGCATGCTCTCAGCAAAAAGAAAAAGTAGAAGTTTTTCTACCGAGGCTGCTTTTAAGTTATCGTACGATACCACATGCGGGAAGGCTAGAAAGCCCATCAACTTTAATAGGAAGACATATTAGAGCTCCGCTAACGATGTCATATTCTACAAATGAAAAAAATGTGGTACAAAAAGAGCAAAGATGTAGATCCGGAAGGAGCCGAATTTATAATGCAAAAAGGCCATAATAAATAGAGAAAATGGTGATAGTGTGTTAGCCCATGCAGACCAAATAAGGACCCAGGGTGAAGAGGAAGAACGAAACGATGAAGAAATGTCTTCAATTCCATCTGATAACGAGTTGGTAGAACAACCATTACAGAAGGAAACGTCAGAAGAGGAAACAATGCAGGATGAAGAGGGCCAGAAGGAGTCTGAAAGTTCGGACGAAGACCAGATTATGCAAGAAAACACATGTCTACAGCCTAGCCCGGGACAGATCGAGGTCTCCCAGGGAAAGAAATACAGGAGAGAGAGAAATAGAGCAAAGTGATGAAAATAGCAGGAGAAGGAGTACAAGATCTATGAGAGAAATAAAACCCTTAAGGTTCAGGAAGATGTAGTGATACTAGCAAATTAGTATGCATAATTTGCATAAGCATAAGTGAACACTCATATAAGTGGTCACTAGGAATAACGAGGTAGAAGTACAAGCTTAGCGGCTGATTAGTGCTAATTTCAACTTCACAACAGTAACAGCCATGTTTCTATGGAAAACATTTTGAATAAGGATTTACAGTTTATTATTGAGAGATGGGCGTTTTAAAAAAGAAAAGTATGTTGCATTTTTACAAAATCTTAAATTGCTCTACAAAAAGATGCTATATGACTAAAAATACATGCCATATTGCCAAAAAAAAATATAAAATAATAAAAAAAGAAATAACAAAAGATTAATTTTTACTGTGTTCAGAAGTGTTTCTTTTTGTCAGAATGATTTAATATCTTTAAATATTTGAAATTGTTTTTTAATTTTCATAAATAATAAACAAATTTGTGATATGTTTTTGCTGTCTCTTAATTTTGATATTTATATTCATATGATGTTTATGTGCTTTGTTGTGAAATAATTTATCTCCCCTTTAATGCTCCACACACACACACACACACAAGAAATCACTTGTTTACTTAAAATGATAATTATCTTGTACAACACCCAAGGACCACTTGAGGTAGAAGGTTACATAAGGAAAAGGCTTTAGAAGGAAATTGAAACCCAATCCTAAACTCTACTTCTTTCATACTTTTCCTTTCTACCCTATTTTTCTTTTTTTCTAGGCTGATATCCCAACTTCATGCATTTTTATGATGGTGTTAATCCATGCAAATTATGATGTCTATTTTTAACTTAATCCAAATATTTATATGCTAAAACTCCAAGTCTGTAACACTATTTTTTTCACTCTTTTGAACCACAAAATTTGTACAGTATATATTTAACAATTCATAATACTTTTATCTTATTGAAGATGAATTGCCAGGTTTATTTTGTAGCAGTGTTTACTTCTAAAACAAAATTATTATATCTTAATAAAATGCCTGAAATTACCAAAACTTTATATTATATTTTGTATATTATATTTTGTATATTTTTCTTTAAAATTATTACTTTCTCTTTTGTATTGCAGAAATTGGTCAATGAAGTGTTCCAGACTATGTGGTTTACTCCCCTCCGAGAAAAGAATTCTGAAAACAAATTATTACGACGAGTCGTGAATATTACAGAAGTGGTAATTTAACACATTCACATATTTGATTAGTACCAAGTGAAAGTAACTTTGTAACATTGTTATATTTTCGTAAAGAAAAAAAAAAAAAAGAGGAAACTAGCTTTACACACATCCCAATTCCTCTTTAAAGCTGCGTTCTTCTTCCTTTGTTGATTACTGACTGCTGTGAATTAAGTCCAGTAAAGCCTTAAGGAAAGGTTATTCTATACTAGCTTTCTTCTCTGAGCAACGTAACAATTTACTGAACTTAATTCCTCATGGACAAGATTATTCGTCTGGACAAGTTTGATATATCTTCTGCAGACCCTCAGGCTAGCAAGCTCTGGAGACTATGGTACCGTAATTTTAATTATTACTTATCAACTATTGCTTCTTTAAACTCGAACAAACTCGAAGTCCTTTATTTAAATATCGGTGCTACCATTGCTGATGTTATCGAGGGTTGTTCTGGATTTGAACATGCTGTTGAATTGCTGAGTAGTGTTTATGACAAGTCTCCAAGTGTTATTCACGCTAGACATTTGTTGTCTACGCGTCTGCAGCAGGAAAATGAGTCTGTATACCAATACCTTCAGGCCTTGAATCGACTTGCTGCTGACTGTTGCTTCCAAGATGTTACTGCTACTACTTACAGGGATGAATCTGTCCGTGATGCATTTATACATGGTCTCCGGTCCCTCGTAATACGTGCCAGACTGCTTGAAAATGATACGCTAACTCTCAAGGAGGCTACTCAATGTGCTAGAGCCTTAGAACAGGCTCACTTTTTAGCTGAGTCATACACTTCTCAGATTGGATCAACTGCTGCTACTACCACTAGGAATAAAAATGTGTTTACTGATTCTGCCGAGGAGGCCACTTCCACTACTATTACTAAAAATATGCTTTCAGACTTAACTGATTCTCGTGTACGGAGTGTGACTCTGTACAATTGTTTGCTGCCTTTGCTCGTGGCAAGTGCTACAACTGTGGAGGAAAACGTCACTTTAAGGATAATCATCGCTATTGTCCTGCCCGTGATAAGATATGTCGAAACTGTGGCAAACTCGGTCATTTTTCTAAAGTTTGCCGTTCTACCATGCTGGCACCTTCACGTTCTACTTCAGCTATTATAGTAGCCCGTGCTAAGGACGATGATAGGTCTCCTCCAGTTACTAAAACTTTAGAATTAAAAGGAAAGAGATTAACTGCCCTTATAGACACCGGTAGTTCTGATAACATTATCAGTGCCTGTATTGTTAAAACAATGAAACTGTCTACTTCTAAACAGAATTCCGTAATTTCCATGGCTTCATCTGCCATTTCCCTCAAATTATCTGAATATTGTACTGAGGACATTATCTTCAATGGTTACGAATATAAACAAATTGACTTTACAGTAATTCCTGATTCCTGTATGGATATTATACTGGAGTGCCCTTCTTAAAACTACACCAGAGTATCACTATTTCTTTTGGTGGATCTCAGGATATTCTAAAAATCTGCGCTTTAACCAAGATCAGTTGTGCTCCTGTTAAGTTGTTCAAACTTGACTCCTGATTGCAAACCTATTGCTACTAAATCCGAAATTACCGTGGAGGATAGTCGGTTCATTGAAAAGAAATTCTACAACTGCTTGAGGATGATATAATTGAAACAAGTTACTCTATGGCGTGCTCAAATTGTCGTAACCGTCACCTAATAAAAAGAAACGATTGGTAGTCGATTTCTTCCAGACTATTAATCGGTTCACCTTACTTGATGCCTACCCCTTGCCTCGAATTGAAGATCTCGTAAACCAAATAGCCCAGTATCGTATCCATAGTATAATTGACTTGTCCAAAGCGTACTATCAGATTGAAATTTGCCCCGAAGATCGCCCCTATACGTCCTTTCAAGCTGGAAATCGTCTGTACCAATTTAAACGAATACCCATGGGTGTTACTAATGGAGTTTCTGCCTTTCAGCGATTTATGAATTCTTTCATTTCTGATAACAAATTATCTGGAACCTTTTCATATATAGATGATATAACTGTTTGTGGTAAAACCCAGGAGGAGCACGACGTCAATTTGGAATGTTTCTTAAAGACTGCCTCGACATACAACCTTGAAATAAACCGGGAAAAATCAGAGTTTTCACTTCGTTCTATTAACGTGCTTGGATATCAAATTTGTAACGGAACTATCCAACCCGATCCTGAGCGTTTGAAGCCACTTTTACAAATGCCTCCTCCTTCCGACTCAAATTCGTTAAAAAGGTGTCTTGGTATGTTTGCTTACTATGCAAAATGGATACCTAAATATTCACACAAAATTCGTCCACTGGTCGAAAATAAACAATTCCCTATGCCTCCTATAGTTATAAATTCTTTCGAAAAATTTAAGAAAGACATTGCTGAGTCATCTGTAAAAGTTATTGATGATGAATTGCCATTTACTATTGAAACCGATGCCTCAGAAAAGGCTATTGGAGGCACTCTTTTACAAGCTGAGCGACCTGTAGCATTCTTTTCTCGGTCGCTAAACCCCTCTGAAATACGACTTCATATAGTCGAAAAAGAAGCATATGCTATAGCTGAATGCGTTCGTAAATGGAGAGACCTCCTTGCCGGGAAACATTTTACTATTATTACTGATCAACAAGCCGTATCATTTATGTTTAAACCTGCTAATTGCGGAAAAATTAAAAACGATAAAATTATAAGGTGGAAAATGGAACTTCTTCCCTTTTCATATGACATAAAACACCGTCCTGAAATGAAAACACAGTTCTGGATACCTTATCCAGAGTATGTGGTGCTGCTGCTTCTTCCTTGAAGGAACTTAAATCGATACACGATTCCTTAATACATCCTGGGGTACAGCGCTTTTGGCATTTTGTAAGGTCTCAGAATATGCGATTAAGCAGATGAAGTCCGACGTGACTTCTGAATGTACGACCTGTGCCAAAATAAAACCCCAATTCTTCGATTCTGCTAGTAATGTTCTGATCCGTTCTACTGCGCCATTTCAGCGTCTCTCCATAGACTACAAAGGGCCTGTCCCGGTATCCCCGACAGGTTACCGATATATACTTACTGTCATCAACGAAAATAGTCGATTTCCCTTTGCCTTTCCTTGCCGCGATTGCTCTTCGCAAACTGCTATTCAGTGCCTGACAAGTATTTTCTCCATTTTCGGGCTTCCCTCGTTCATTCGCTCCGATCGAGGAACTTCGTTTATGTCAGGAGAATTTAAACAATTTCTAACATGACTTGGAATTGGATTCGGTAATACTACTGCTTACAAACCTAGAGGCAATAGCCAATGCGAACGTTACAATGGCATAATTTGGAATACCATATTATTGGCCCTGGAATCGAAACAGTTACCAATTAGTGTTTGGCAGGATGTTCTACATGATGCGTTAAATGCTATCCGCTCCCTGCTATGTACCACTACGAATGCAACCCCCCACGAACGAATGTTCAATTTTGAAAGGCGGTTCTCCACCGGTATCGTTGCCTGTTTGGCTCTGTGAGCCTGGGAGGTATTATTAAAACGATTCGATGGCAGAAGTAAATATGACCCTATCGTTGAGGTGGTGGAACTCCTTGAGGCCAATCCCACATGCCAAAATACGCACAATGTGGCGGGAAGATTCGGGTGGCGCTGAGACGGTTGGCACGTTTTTCCACGCCCGGATGGACCTCAAAATGGACCTGAAAATACTCAACCCGGACGTGGACCATCCAGATTCAACCCTTTTGCCAGATGCAGGTCCCGTTAATATTTCTTCACCTTCCACGGAAAATGAATCTGTGAATAATAGCCAGAATCCTGAAAGTCAGCCTTCTCAGAGGTCTGGCTCTTCCAGTTGTGAACTACCTCCGCGGGTCTAGCAGGATTCAGAGACCAATCCAACGACTGGATTTATAAAACCTATTCAATTACAATCTCTTTTGCAAGTGGGGAGAAATGTTATATTTTTCGTGAAAGAAAAAAAAAAGGAAAACTAGCTTTACTGTCCACGTGACTTTTCACACGTCCCCAATTCTTTTAAAGCTGCGTTCTTCTTCCTTTGTTGATTACTGACTGCTGTGAATTAAGTTCAGTAAAGCCTTAGGGAAAGGTTATTCTATACTAGCTTTCTTCTCTGAGCAACGTAACAAACATAATAAGAGTTAAAACAAAAAATAATGAAATAAATAATGGCTCTAATTGCTACATGACTTGTGAACTGTATCTATGCTTAGAATGTTGTAGATTTTACCAGTACCCAAGTAGATGCTTACTTTACTGTAGTATATATCTATTCATGCAAATATTTTATATACTATTATATATTATTAATATAATTTTAAATGTAGTCTTATGTACATACAATATTTTTTATTGATTTTGACCACGTGTTAAAACATTTTGACATATTTCTATTCTCTTCCCAGGTTTCTGCCTGTAAAGATTCTGGAATTGAATTCTTTGAGCAGATGTTAGAAAATGTAAGTGATTAATAGTTTCAATGTTTTTATTGTGGTAAACTTTAAGACATTTTTCTCTTTTTTAACTAAAAAATTATGTTCGTAACTTTTTTTAGAGTAGTAATAATTGAACCAAATATAACAAACCATTAATTAACCATTAATTCTTTAAAAATTGCTTTGATTTTTTTTATATGAAACTGAGCAGATATGCCATTTTGAGAAAATCTGAATGGGTGAGTGTGCTTTAAAGGCAAGTTGAACCTTACTTGATTGTGAAGCTCTTTGTAGCTAAATGTTCAAAGTGCACACACGATCAGACAGTGATTTCCGCTACAAAGCGAAATGCAGGTTCGAATCCTGTTGGAGGACACATTTTCTTTATTAAATTTTCTTGAGTATGCAGGCCAGTAGATGAAACAAATGCTGTTTAAAATAAATGAAGCATCTGCTTAAATATGGGTATCCACTAAAAATAATATTTGAAATAATAAAAAATATTTGTAGTTGGTTTTTGAGGTTCCAATTGAAACAAGATTACACGGCTTATTTTTTTAAATCACATTTCCTAATAAATTTCATGAATGTAAACATTTTTCTTTAAAAACTTTGAATATTCTAAATAGTTAGTTTACTATAACTTTTTAAATTTATTAAAACCTTTTTATATATTTGTTATTAATTTGTCCTTTATTAGAATATTTATTCAATTTTAAATCTTTTCTAATTTTCTCTTCTCTTTTTGTTAGTTGTTGAGAGAAGATGAAGAGGGAAAAATTAACAAAAGTGCACTTCAAGCTTGTCGACAAATAGTCAATTGCCTTGTGGAAAATGTCTTGACTCTGGAGGAGAAATCAGTTGGTAATTATGCTTCCCAATGCTTTTCTATTCTGTTAACTGAGATAAAAAAAAATGGTGTGTGCATTTTTCTATCTTCTTTCATTCCACTTTTACATATCTGTACCTTTTTAAAGGCCTTTTGATGTAATTGTTTAAAGAGAAACTGTCACCAGAAAGCTTCATATGTTGTTTAAGAGATATTGAAAAAGTAAAAATGTTTTACTTCTTTTTTTTGTTTTATTTTCTAAAAATAAAAATAAAAAAAATGATGATCATAATGTAAATATCTATTAATAATCAAAGGTCTTGAGTGATAGACAGATATCTTTGTATAGTGTCTCAATCCTGTAAATAGGATAAAAATCAACTGAAGAAACAATGATTATCATCATCATTGTCTCTTTAACAACCTGATATTGTCCTGCCACAATAAAAACTGGATCCTGTACTTGATTTTAAAATATTATTGATTTTTCAGGAACAGAAGATGGGTCAGAAAGTAGCAGTCAACATTTAGTAGCATGCCTATCTACCTTGTACATGTTCAGTAAGATAAAACCTGACTTAGCTGTGCAACATGCAATAACCTTGCAGCCTTACCTGGACATTAAGTGCAATGTAAGTTCTCCATTTTTTTATTAACTTCTAACATTTTCATTTTGCACACCCTTTTTAAATCCCTTTTTAAAACCCCAGTTTCAAAAGGTTTTTTTTTTTTTTTTTTTTAAATCCTAGATAATTACTGCCTTAATTATACGTCACATATTGTAATTTATTTTATCCTCCCTGACTATCGTGACTAATTGCAAAATTTACCTTTGCAATAAAAGCTGTTGTTTTTCTTGATGATAGGAGTGTATTTTTTTTTTTGTTTTTGTGTGAGAATAAGTTTTTATTAGGATTAGGATCTGTAAATTGTTTTTTTTATTTTAACATTTTTTTTTTTTTAACTTTTTAAAAAAAATTTTGCTTGCCTCTTGGATTTGTGATTCTGATTTTTGACTATACTATTTCTTGCGTTTGGGATTTGTGATATTGGATTTGTAATGGCTTGTTCTCATGCTGATCAGCACTGTCGTCAGTCAATTGATAGTTATCTGCTGACCACTTTGGTTCTTCATCTGCCCTGCCCCATGTTGTGTTTTTTGATCACAGACCAGTGAAGATCCAATTTTTGTTCGTACTTGAATCGAGTTGTGATGGAATCATGCTATGAAAAGAACAAAGAATGCTTCCACTGGTGAAAATGCAAATATCAACAAATAACGAAGAAGGTCGCTGGGTTAATTTTCAATTGGTTTATATATTTTTTATATACAACAAAATTAACCCTTCCTGTTAAACTCTCTGCTGTGACACTGTGTTTTTTGCTTCTAAAACTGGGAGTGGGTTAAAACTTATACAAGGAATTAGATTGGGGCTTCTGTTGGCAGTAGGTAACTTAGGGTTCAGCAGCTTCTCCTCTGCCTCTGTTACGTCTTGTCTGTGTCTTTGGCTTCAACTAAGCGTTTGGTTATACGTATTTTGTTGCCTGACTCCTCCCACACCTCCAAGCTCATTAATTATTCATCAATTAATTATTTTCTCCAACCCTAGAGACATGACACCGACCCTCAAACAAAGCAGTCATTTATTTCAAAACAATAATCCCTTTGACTATAAACTTTGTTTTAACATTCCTTTTGATAATCAGCTGTTTACCCAAATAACAAACTTTTGTGTTTAAAAAAATTATTTCTATGTCCTTTGATGTAAAAGAATTTCATTTTGTTTTTTAATTTTCAAAATGACTGATTTTAAATCCCATTGTTTACATTTTGGCTTTACTCAAATTTGTTTCCCGGCCAACAATGATCTTCAAATAAAAAGCGATCAGCTATTCAAAATGATTTTTCCCCCCTGATAACAACTTTTTGCGTTTTTGAAATTTATTTCAAATGTCAAAGAATTTTCCTTGTTTGACAACTTTTCAAGATATGTTCCAAATAATTCTCCGCACATTCCAGAGTGTTCACATTCCTGGCTTGATAAACATTTTTTGGCTTATATTTAACATTTCTCAAATGTCAGATTGCTTACATCATAGGCCTGGTTATCAGAAAGAAAAGAGAGAAAAAAAATCTCTTTTTCCACTTCACTTCATATTTCAATTCATGTTTTCATCTTAATGATTTTAATGTTTTTAATCCTTCAATTCTCCAGTTTTATATGGAGGTTTCACACGAACACTTTTTATTCCTAATTTCATACTCCCAGTGTCACAATACAGACTTTTACACCATTCTTCTTTTGGACATTTGTCAACAGACACACTTTTTAGAAATATATTTTTCAGAAAGTCTGTTTATCATTGGAATAAATCAGTTCATTTGGGTTGAATACAAATCCTATGATGACTCATTTGTAATTCACTGTAACTATTACAAGAAGAAGGTTTTTTCCTTCATAACTATATTTTTGTGCAGCAAAATCTTAAAAGATTCCTAGATGGAATTAATTACCTTGGAAAATCATGTATACCATTCATACCAAATTCTGCAGTAAAAGAAGGAAATTATTATGAAGAACTTTCCAGAAAGTTTATTCATAAACAATTGTTTCATATATTTCCTTTAACATTCTGATTGGTAAGGTTGTAAAGACAAAATTTGAATAAGTTGAAGGATTCATTTTAGCAAAAGGGACAGATTTAAATTGTAAGGCTAAATCATTTTTCTTATAAAAATGTTTTTTCTGTCTATTCCATTGGCTTATTTTTTGTTCAGAAACTTTCTTTACATCATTATTTTTTGAAGCTTTTGAGGATTAAAAAATGTTAATGCTTCAGTTATGATTTTATAATGAGCTTTTATAAGTTTTATATGACAATATCTAATAATATTCTTAGTATACAGATTTTTCCTGATTATTTTTCATTACAAAAATACATCTGTTATTTTTCTAATATTAGAATTTTAAAAAATCCCTACAGTAATAAAATTGCATTTAATAATACTGACAATAAGTAAATCTGTTATTGGTTTAATATGTATTTGAAGCTTTAATGTAAAATTACTTGGAATATTGCTTTGGTATTTGCTGTAAAATATTTCATAAAAATAACTTATTTTGGATAGGAATTAAATCTTAAGTGCATTTAAGGGAAGTAGCACAAATGTATCTAAGCAATCTTCTCCCTTACTGATACAAATTGCAATTTTGATTGCCTAGATATTGACCTTGAATTTTCTTCAAGCATTTAATTAAAAATTTCTTTTGCCATCCTTTTCATGGAGTTTGTTGCTTGGTTTTATTTCACAGACTGTAGGAGACACAATGGTTCTTCATAATGTTGCTCGCATATTGGAACTGATTGTACCTCTGATGGAGCACCCAAGTGAATCCTTCCTGGTCCAGTTAGAGGAAGACATGATGAAATTAATTCTTAAACATGGCATGATGGTAAGTCATAATTATTATAATTATATTTTTTTGTATCACCATCACCAGAATAGGTGGTAGGCATAAGTGCTTTGAAAGATTAAGCAATGATCAATAAAAACAAATTCCTGAAAAGTATCAGTAAGAAGAATTCTCTATGAAATACAGAATATTTCAAAACCAAAACTAACCAAACTCCATGGTAGTTGTAGCAAATGCTAAGCAGCAAGTGTTAGCTCCTTACATTGCGTATATTGATTTTTTTCTTCTGTCTTATTCAGTGAGTTTATATAGTTTTAACTCTTGGTTAGTTGCTAGAAATGTACTCTAATCAATGACTAGAGTACATTTCTATTTATTGCATCTGATTGATATGTTACAACAAAGTACACTGTTATTCTGAACATGAATGTTTTAATGAGAAATTGTCATTAAATGAATTTGTATTTGTGTTCAGAATATTATCTTGTATAATCTAAGCATATATGAAATTTTCATTTTTTAATGTACTCTTTATTGAACATAGATATTCACAATATTGAAAATATCCTCAATTCTCGAACTTCTTTGTTATGTAAAAGTACATGAATATACAACTAGGTTCAAAGAGATCTTTACTGGATATATTTTGATAAAAAAAAATATGCTGAATCCTTTTCTTTCTTCCTGCCGCTTAGGTGCTGCAAAGTTGTGTGAGTTGCTTGGGTGCTGTTGTGAACAATGTCAGTCACAATTACAGGCTGGTCAAGGATTGCTTTCAAAAATTCTTTGGTAAGTGATTTTTATCAAAGAATTAAAGAAAGGTAAAAATAATAGAGATACAGGTTGTGTTGATTTTTGTTTTTATGGGTTTGATTAAAATTGAGAATCTATGGCAAAGTTTAAATTTATGTTGAACAATTGAATTAGGAAGTCAAACTAAATTTAATGTTCACTGACAATTTTGCTTGTGTCAAATGTTTGTAAGGGAACTAAATCTTGGTTTTAAATTTAAGCATTTTTTTCTAAAACATTTAAAAAATTATTTGATTAAAAGAAAGCAAATAGTTTTTGATTAATAATAGAGTATCTAATGAAGAACGACTTTATTTAGCAGTAGATATATACATCAAATCAACTTTAAAATATCTAAATTGCACTGTTTAATTTTCATTTGTATTTATGATTTAATATTTAAATTTTTATAACTACTTTGTTATTTTCTATAAGGATATTTGGATGCTTTAAGCTTTGTGTGTGTGTGTGTTATTTTTATAGATACAAGTATTTAAGTAAATGCTTTGTTTATAATAAACAGTATTAACTACATTTGGTCTGACATGTAATACCATTAAGCTACAGAGGTCTGGTTAGCAAAGTCAAATTAAAAACAGTAATTTGACTTTGCTAACCAGATGCTTCCTCCGTAGCTAAATGGTATGAAGATAAACTGAAGAGCAAGTCAAATGACAGTTCCATGTAAGATACAAGTTCGATTCCTGTTAGAGGACATGCATATTTTCTCCGATATTTCTCGGACATTCAAGCCGGTAAATATAGTTAATACTGTTAATTATAAACAGAGCATTTCCTTAAATATTTGTATCCATAAGAATAATGTAAAAAGAGAAAATATATTAAAATAATCATTGGACTTAGTCCATTTCATAATATATATATATATATATATATATTGCTTGCGTTGTATCATAATGGTCCAGGTTTGATTCTTGGTAGTGGATGTGCACTGCTGAGGAGTCCTAAATAGGACAAAATATGTCTATGTGATAATTTTTATGATCTTTCAAATACATGTGTATCATTACATTTAATTTATTGTTGTTGCATGGCAAAAAAATTAGTGCAAACATTTTAAAGAAAAAGTCATAAAAATGTTGATGCTTCAGCAGACAAACCTTTAATCTTTCTCAAATGGAAACATAACTGCAAAACTGATGCAGGTTATCTCTTAAAATTGCTTTACACTAAAATTGTAAATATTTTTAGGTAGGTGTATTTGCATTTAAAGACTAATGCATTGAATAAACTTTTCTGTTTTGTACATTTTAAAATATATTGTTTGAAATGAACTCATTTTGAATGCCTTACTATCATTTTTGATAGGTGTTCTATCTCGGTTGATGGCTGACCACAAAAGGAACCCTGATAACCCAACCCTCCTTAGCAGACGACCTACCCTTTTACGGGCATTATTCACTGTTGGCTTATTATGCAGACACTTTGATTTTGACTCAAAAGACATGGGAGAAACAAAGGTAAAGGCGATTTCATTTATTTTTTCTTTGTTGAAAATATATGCAGTTTACCAATATAAGCATGCTAGACTGCTTTGTTTTTTATGGCTTATCAATCTTTTGCACGTTATTTAAAGCCAGAAAATATTTTTAGATTATAAGAATTTTGGGGGAGATATTAATGATTTACTGATACAAGTCCTTCTAATTAACCAATAGCTGGGGGGAGAAGGGGTGGATTGATACCATTCTCAACATTATTTGTGCATAAGTGAACCTGACTGGAATTGGAAATGAGATTTTTGATTTCCAACTGATCCATTGTACCATCTGCACATTCAAGCTTACAGTACATTGTATTACCAAGCAGTCACCCATCTAGATATTGATCAGGCTCAGTGTTGCTTAACTTTGGTGATTGTACAAGAACTGGTTGTTTTCAAGATGATATGGCTGCAAGAAATTCTTTTATTAAATGAAGAAAAGATAATAGAATGTAGCATATATCAACATGTAATCATATCATTCATTAAACAATATTTTCATTATAAATAGAAATTTAATATAAAATTTCTAATATAGGTTGTTTCTTGTTCTACTTCACTCTCTTATAAAAAATGTATCAATTAATTTGTTTTGGGAACAAAAATATAGTTAGCAGATATAACCACTAAAAAGTACCAACGAAAGATGTACATTTCTTAAAAAAAGATTGTTGAGCCTTGCCTTGCTATAAGAACATCTGTGTCTGAAACAGTAATGCTATGCCTAGCTAAGGTGGTTATATATATATATATATATATATATATATATATATATATGTGTGTGTGTAATTGGTACCATTGAGACCTTCATAATGCAATCACAATTACGTTGGGCTGGCCATGCGACAAAGATGAGTGATGATGATTGCATACCAAAAATTCTTTTCTACAGTGAATTCCATAGTGGTCAAAGAAATGTTGGTAGACCTTGACTCAGGTATGAAGATAAACTGAAGAGCAACTTTTCTTGAGTCAACATTCCATTCAAGAACTTTGAAGAGGTAGCTATGAAGAGATTAGAGTATCATTTCAGCTGCCATTCAGGAATAATGCACCATCAAGAAGTAAGCATCATTCAACTGCGTGGAACACAAAAGCAAAATAAGACAGCTAACAGTATTCCTGCTTCATTTGGATACAATGCATTCTCCTGTACTGTTTGTGATTTTTTGTGCAATACTTGAGCCAGTCTCAAAAGTCTTGCTTGTCATAGGCATGCAGATAATTAGTTCATGGTTGTTGGAACCTCATTCATCAAACTCGACAGGAGAGTCCATTATAGGGTGCACACATGTAAATCAGTTAAAACAAGTTTTGCAAAGACAAACAAAAAAAAAAAATTATAAATTTCTATTTGGTTAACTATGATAGTTTTATTGTTCAATATATAATTTATTCATACATAAAATGGTGGAAATTATCCTTAAACTTGTTCTTGGAATGTAAATTAGATGGAAGGAGCTTAAAAGTTATCTTAAAATGTGATAGCCCAGTTTTTCAAATTGTTATGTAACATATGCAATTATATTTTACATTTTTGTATAAATTGCTTATTAGGATATGGAATTGAGTTTTCTGATGCTCATTTGAAGAATTCTATTTTTTTTTTTTTTTCCCTTCAGGTTTCAATTAAAGATAGAGTATTTGACGTCCTTTCTTATTTTATTGCTCATGAAGATGAAGATGTGAGGATCAAAGCTTTAACTGGTCTGGGTAAGGATGAATTTTCTAATAGTATTCAGGATAATCTATATGTTTGTTAGACATAAGAATTAGTGAGTTTCGCTCCAGTGTTATTAGCTTCCCATTCATCATTTCTTTGATGACTGGCAATTTGGAATTCTCCAGATTAGAGGCTGGCAAATCTTTTTGAAAGAGCAATTTGGTTGTAGTTTTTGAAATTATGGACCAAGTTTAATTTAAAGTAAAACTATAGTTATATCTTCTGTTTGTCATCTCCCTTCAGGACATAAGTGATCATGGCATTCATCATTTTAAATGCTGTTAAATAGTATTTTCCATTATGAATAATCATAAAATCTAATTAATAAAATAAATGACAACAGGAAAACCTTTTATGCCAATACATTTCAGTTCTTGAGAAACTTTATCAAGGCAGGAATTGATGAATTTCCTTAAGGAATGAAACACTTGCCTTGAGATAAATTTCTTTAAAACATTTGCCTTCATAAATTTCTTTAAGGAATGAAATATTTTGGTATAATCTTATCATTTCGTTTATTGATATTGTCTTTATGGATACATTTTATTTATACCTGAATTTTTACAAAGTCTAATACAATTCTTTTAATAGTAGGATGAAGAATCAATGAGAATGTTGAAATTCTTTTTACTGATATGAAACTAATAATTTCAATTGTGGTTCAAAATTTGTATTGCCAGTCATCAAAATTGACTGTAAATGTTAATCTCTTAATACGGACCTATATGCAGGTTTCATCTTCGAACATATTTTCTTAAATATGTTGTGCCAAATGCTGAAATTGTCAGAGAAAAGATAAAAATGTATATCTTTCATCTCGGAGACATTTGTAAAAGTTAATTACCTTTACTATCTCTTTGTATTTGTAAATATTTTCATATGATTAATTGATTTATATCACAGTGATATTTTTTGATTATGATTAATGGTCATTTTATTTCTAATATTGTCTAAAATAAAAGCATTTTATTTTTTGCATATATTTATTGCATATATGATAATTTTCTTTCATATTTAAATTTAGTAGATACATAAACAAAAGATATTTTTATTTTATACATAATAATAGTAAAAAAAAAAAAAAACAGATTATTATTGGTGAATTTTATCATTTCTTATATACAATGTCACAACCATTTGCTAATAATTGCTCTAGATTATTAACAATTTTAATTTTTCTTTCTCCTTTATTATTAATTAACAACAGTAAGAAAAATTCATTCAGAATCTAACCTTCAAACCAAAATAGTATTTATTTTTTTGAAACTGGTGAAATTCATTAGCTACAATTGTAGGATACTAATGTCTACTAAAATTGTAGAATACTAATGTTCTACTTGGTTTTATATTAAATAATTGGATAAACCTGAATAAATTGTGTTTCTAAATATCATATTAGAAAAAGCACAGTTGATTATTAAAGGAAATAAGTAATTCATATATTATCGTTATCTTAATTACTTTGCATAATTTAATTCTTTAGGATTCATGTGTATACGACACTATGAATATATGTTGGGGAGAACTTTGAAAGAACTCTATTACTATTTGCTGACGGACTATAATGCATCTACAAAATTAAAAATTCAAGTAAGTTTTCTTTTGCTTTCTCAATATATAAATCATTGAATTAATTTTTTTGTGATGCAAGTGATAATAAAAATGTATTAACAAAGAAAAAACAGGATGTCTATATATACTTTTTACAGTGTAAAATATGTTTTAGTTTTCAGTTAATCTCATTTTAAGTGAGACTAAAGTTGGAAGAAATAAATAAATAACTGTTATTAATAAAAGCCCATTTTATAAATCATAGCCACCACTAACACAGTTATCTCATAATCTGACATGATATATCCTACCTATGATAAATATGGATATCATATGGCATAAGAGAGGGAGATTAAATTGTGACTCGGGCATTGATATTTGTTTAGTTTTTTATACAATTTTGTTTAATATTAAAAAGATTACTTATCATTATTCTTCCCTTATGTGCCATGTCATTTTATGATGTCAGTGATCATGACTCTTTACAGCTTCCTATCCTTTGTTGCTCTAAGCAATGTTTGTCCCCTTACTATTCCTCTCAGTCCCTGTTCTGCCATCTATGTACACAAGTTTGTTAGGTGTGTTACTTACTGTTTCCCTCTGCTCCTCTTACCCTCATATATCCTGTGAGTGTCAAATTCTCCTAACTTGCTTTCCTCATTATGTATCCCAGAAATTTCAATTGTCCTTTTCTGATCCTAAGGCATGTGTTCTAGTTCCTTTTTTCCTTAAAACTTCCTTGTTGCTCACATGTTCCGTCTATGGTATTCTCAGCAACCTTCTAAAATGTTACCATCTTTTCTTAGAAAGGTTTTATTTTTTGTAGCAACTGATTTGATTATTCATTTATACACAATTTAGAAGAGTGCATACCTAAAAAAAATCTGATAAAAATGTTTTATTGAATTTTTTCATTATCTTTTAAAGGCCTTGAAGAATCTGCATGGCTACCTTGTGGAAGAAGAAGTCAAAATGATTCAAGCTGATGCTGAATGTAAGTCTTAAAAGGAAACCAATTTATTTCTCTATAAATTATTTCCTTCTTCTGATACTGGTGAGAATTATTTAATCCAACATCTTTTATGGAATCATGTTTATTTATTTTTATCTAACTTGATTTTGAAATAAATTGTGTGTGTTTAAAATATTAATTAAAATTTTAATTCTTGTAACAGCTAATCATTATTACAAACACTTGTTTTGGTTAAGAATTAAAGCATGTTTTTTGTTTCTAGTAGAATTGATTAAGGAATGCCAATGTATACCTTTGTGAATTTTCCAAGAATATTCTCTCTCTCTCTCTCACACACACACTACATGTTATGACTTTTCAGGGAGAAAGCAGTGTAAAGCAGAGGATTTAAGGGATATGGGTGATGTACAGTCAGGGTAAGTTACTTTGTTTCCATATTAGTTTTACTTTGCCACTCTTTTTAAAGTTGTTATAAATAAATAGAAAGTTGCTGCATGGAAAAACCAGTAAAAAAAAACAATATCCCTGGTTAATATAATAAAATTTACAAAGATATAATGAAAGAAATTGCTGTATAAAATGTTGTAGGTTAAATACTTTTAAATTGTCTAACAAATTATTGTGAATCAAAGTATAGCTCAACAGTTAATTTGAAAAGGAAACAGTTTTCAGTATTCACATCTGGTTCTTTTCTTTCCATTCATTAGTCTATAAATGAATACTTCTGGATATAATTTTTAACCTGTAATGTTTTGTCTTATTACAGAATGGCAAGTACGATTATACAGGTGTACCTCAAACAGATTCTTGAATCTTTCATTTGTTCCAACTCTCAAGTACGAGGAGCTGCATTAGGTGTCATTCATCTTGTGCTTCGACAAGGCCTCATTCATCCTGTACAGGTAAGTACAATTATATCTTGGTAAAATCTGCAATGCTTACCTTACCCATGGCTGTTGCATGAAATGAGCAAATATTTAGTTTCTTTTTAGATATCAATGATATTGCTTTTTAGGATTAACGTTAACTTGACTTTTAGAATAATTTTACTTGTTCATTGAAAATAGGAGATTTGTTCATTTGTAATTTATTGATTGATAAGTAATGATTTATTGATTGATAAGTAATGATTTATTGATTGATAAGTAATGATTTTACAATTTTTAACTTTGCTTTCCAGACCTTAAAACTTTTGTCTGAAGAAAAATTTGCCTTAATTCTTGTAAAGGGCTAAAAAAAAAAAAAAAAAAGTCAGAAAATTTTGTTATACATTGGTTGACAAAATATAAATAGTATATTAGAATATTTGTACACTGTTCCTCCAATGCAATTTAAAAATACTGAAATGACTAAAGCTACACGTATTAGATACATGTTGTAGTTGACTTATGACCATGATTGGTTATGATAGATATTGTAAATCAGCCTATAATTAATTTTTCAATCTTTCTTTAGGCAGTATTGCATTTTTTATAATTTTTATAGTTTCTTTACACTTCTTACCATTTGTATCATCTTTCTATACATTTCGTTTCTTATTTATGTTTGTCAGGTTAAAGTCAAACACTGCTTACTATAGTACAGTTAATTTTTAAGTCAAACAGTCATGAGTTGCATAGGTTGTAAGTTGACAACAACCTGTATATTCATAATCAGAATTAAGATGTTTGATTGTTTACAACACTCTCCAAATTAAAACCTTACAAAGAATAATCAATTAAAGATCTGTGTTGACATTTATTTCCATGAGATGCATTTTTATTTTTGTTAAAAATATTGTAGATATTAAAAGGTATTTTAACTCAAGTTTTATTGTTGTTACTAAATTTACATAGAAGAATAGTTATACTTGCCTTACTAAAAATAGTTACAAGTATATAACTTATTTAGCAACATGTCTGTGTTAATAGCATGATGATTATCATCATAATAAAAAATATTAAAAAAAATAATAAAGAAACATAAAAATATAATGATAAAAAAAAAACAAAAAACGAAATAATAATAATAATAATCATAAAAAAATGGCAGTCACAAGAGATGGGATTTCTCTGTCCAGACAGATCATGTCATTGAAGCATTGAAGACCCAACATTATTGAGGAGAATAGCAAGTGTCAAGTTATTGAATTTGCTGTTCCACATGATTCAAGACCAAAGAAACGGAAAAGATAAAATAATATCAGGATCTGGGTAGGGAGCAGAAGAATGGAGATGAAGAATCTATGGAACATGAATGTAGAACTAATTCCTGTAGTAATGGGTGTGCTTGGAATACCACCTAGAAAACTGAAAAAACACTTAGGAAGAATTAGAATTGAGGGTAAGATTGTATACCTCCATAAAACTGCCATCATTTATTTTGCAAGAATTCTCTGAAAAGTTCTTGTGTTGTGGGGCATCTTATTGACACTGCCTGAAGAACACAATTTCCATTAACTATGTCAGTATAACACCAATATAATAATAATAATAATAATAATAATAAAAATAATAATGAAACAGGATAGTTTCATATAAAATTACATTTTAAGGCAGTGTTCAGGTTAATCATGAGACTAAGAAACTTGTCTTTAATGAGATGTAGATCAATGGTGAGAGCAAAGTGGTTTTATTAATGTTTTTTAATTTACTTGGAATAAATTTTACCATGATATATATTTTTTGTTTCCAAAGTTTAAACTAATTTGTATGTATATTGCAGTGTGTACCATACCTAATAACTATGGGAACAGAAAGTGATTCATCGGTCAGAGTTAAAGCAGACCAACAGCTACAAGAAATAGATAAGAAATATCCTGGTTTCATTCATGTAAGTTCTATTAGATTATTTTTCATTTTTTTGCTCTTGTTGAAATGCCACTTTTATTTCTGTCTGTACACTTTTAACAGTACTGAAAACAGTGTTGCATAGCATAGTTATCAAAATGCCAAGTTTTTAGAGCATATTTTGATAAATACAATTGTTTTCCTTAACCACTTAGGATTAGAATTATTTTTTGTACTCTGAAGTTTTTACTAATCTTACTTCTTCATTATATTTTTTGGTGGGAGGGGTGGGCACCCAGCATGTTTATTTTTGTAGGAACCTACTGGAAAAAATTTAAATTCTAAGAAATTGATCATTTAGAATTGTGAAACTGGTTTGTTAGAGATTCTAAAAGTTCATACAAATTATAATTCATTCAATTCTAAAAATCCATTTGAGTCATAACAAAATATTTTACTTGTGTAACAAGTGCCTTTATTCATGTTTTTAAAGATAATTTCAAAGAACATGTGGCTTGTTTGATGATTATGAAACTTCCACATTGTGTATGCTTTTTTCGAAATCAATTCATGGCTATATACAATAATACATGATAATCCATGAAAAAAAGAATAGCAAGTTAAGGACATTAGAAACATGTCCTGTACATTTATCTATGGCAAACATTTTGGTATAAAATATTGTCTTACTCTCATAAAATAATTTTTTGTATTTTTAGGAATGGATTTTTCATTTATTAATCTGACAAAACATTTAAGCAATAAGTTAAAATTTTCTATATCCATATGATTCCTTCATTCAAAATAAATTAAATTCTAGACTAATCCTACATATTCCTCAGATTTTCTACCACTTATTAGGAAAAAATTTCAGCCATCCGTACTTATTCCAAACTCCCTTTTTATTCAAAACCTGAGAGTATTCTTTCTACAGAACAGGGATTCCTTCTATCCCATTTGCAGTTTTAAACTATTAAAAATTAAAAGTTTTCCAAGAAAAGAGCTCTGGGAACTATTGCACACGCCTAAGAATTTGTAATTACAATCAAAGTGCCTTCTAAATAATACTTACAAACATAAAGATTATTAGGTTTTTCCAGTAATTAACTCATTTCTAGTGCCTTCTACTCCATCCAAGTGGTATAAATTAGATAATTTGCTACAGGGCTGTGGAGTCAGAATCGGAAGCAGTTAAGGTGTCACTGGAGTTGGAGTCAATAAAACTATATTGACTCTTATTCCAGTTGAATTTACCCTTTATGTAAAAAGTCTTACATTATAGTTTTTATTTTTTTGTTATTTCTTCTTCTGTATATTTACTATTCCCCTTAAAGAAATTCATCTCAACTATTTTTTTTTAAAGTCATTTTTATTTTTTTAGTTATATTGTATTTGCAAAACTGTATATGTAAAACATTCTTACATTATAGAAGTTTTTATATCTTTTACATCCTGTAAAAGATTATATTTCAACTCCTGTTATAAAGTATTTTTATTTTGTTCTGTACTTATTTCTTATCTTATAGCATTTTTATTGTTATTTCTTCTATATCCTTTCAATTATTTTGTCTCTAAAAATATTGAAAATATTGAAGAATGAATAGGTATGATATAAAAGACACAATATCTTTATTCTTTGATATAAACCAGTTATAATGTAATGGTCCTACTCAAGTTAGGAGTGTATGCATAGGCTTTATGAGATTTGTAGGCTATAATCACTTAATTACATAAAGAGGAGTTGGAGATGTCAGAAATAGAGGAGTTGAAGTCAGAGGTTTTGTGTTCCAACTGCACAGCTCTGGTTTGCTAATATGGTGAACTCTTTGAAAATAGTTAATAATGTAACATTACAGTAAAACAAAGTTAGCTCTCTTCAAAGTAGTTATTAACTTGTTTGATAGTTTTTAATATTGTTTCTTTTGTGGTGGCTTCTAAGATTCTTTTTCTATTACAAGTTTCATTTTTCTTGTAGATGAAGGCTCTCCAAGGAATTAAGATGTCCTATAGATTACAGAGTATCATTCAAGACCCATCAGAGCCTGTTCGTGGCCTTAGAAACATGGATAATTCCTTTCAAAGTTTAAACGCATTCCTTTATACTGTTCTTAGAGGGAACAGATCACACAGAAGAGCACTTCTTACTTCCTTGTTGAATTTGTTTGATGATTCTGCTGTAAGTATACCGGATTAAAGCTTTATTAATTTGTATGGCTATTGAAAAGGGTCAGTAAATCTTTTTTATAGTATATCACCCACAGACTAGCATTTCAAGTTAAATACATTTTAATCCTTAAGCAGTTATCTGTTTTTAGTCATGCAAATTTTTAGGTGTAACTTGGTTTTGCTTTTATACATTTACCAAAATACATTTAGTCTGTGATAAGCAAACTGAAATAATATTTCTTAAAATTAACTTTATTTAAAAAAAAAAAATGAAAAATTAACTTTATTTAAAAAAAAAAAAAAATGAAAAATTAACTTTATTTAAAAAATGTAAACAAGAAAAGACAAAATTTTCAAATCTCTTTGTTATATGCCATCAAATTCTGTATGAATTTATATTGAAAATTGTAAAATCTAATAACAGTAAAAAAAAAAAAAAAAAAAAAGACCAAGGTATATGATGTAATTTGCTTTGAAACTGATTTTGTTTGCACTTGGTTCCATCTTGATATTTTAAAAGAAGTAACACTTATTTTATTTCTTTTTCTCATCACTCACATTTATTTTGCCATAAATTTTTTTTTTCTCTTCACTCACATTTATTTTGCCATAAATTAGCAACAATTCATTGGAAGAATAACTTGGAATTCTTCTCAGTTTTTCCTTTTATTATCTTAAAATATTGAGTGATTATTTTTTTCATTTTGCAGAGAGTGTCGTTAGAAGAACTTCTGTATGTAGCTGATAACCTGGCCTTTTTTCCTTACCAAACCCAAGATGAACCTTTATTTATCATTCATCAAATAGACATCATTGTATCAGTCTCAGGATCAAATTTGTTACAGTCTTTCAAAGAGGTAAATCATGTTTTTGTTTTTTTTTTTCACATAAAAACTGTCACATAACCAATAAGGCATATCTTATTTTCAGTTTTCTTAATGTAAGCGAGAATTCTTTTCTTGTTAGTTTGCAGATTTATAAAAACAAGAAGGATAATTTTTTTCTTGATAATTATCCTTGAGAAAAGACATTTCATTAATGAGAAATAGTCTAGCATTTTTGAAGTAGAAAAAAATAAAGGATTCTGAAGCTTTAGTGATTAATTGTTGATGGTTTGTGTAGTGATATGTAAATGACTGCCTAATCAGTATAACTAAGACATAGAGACTCTACAAGTGCCCACCCAGTAATGGGAGGGGCAGAATATGATATGTGAGATTAATGGCTACTGTTGGACTGAGAAAATACAAAGGAAATCCCACTTCATAACAGTTTGATTTAAGGATTGTTTAAGTTGGTAAAAATCTAGGTGGTGGGCATAAAACAGGGGACATAATTCGGGCCAGATTTTGTAGGGCTGTGTGCTTCTATTTCATTAAAAAAAAAAAAAAAAAAAAGTTGATAAAATTGGAGGCCCAGACAAAATAGTGGAGATTGATGAAATATAGATTGTAAAAAGAAAATATAACCATCCACAGTGGCTTTTTTGAGGAATTGAAAGAAATTCTGAGGAATTTAATTTGTAGAATTTTTTCTTGATAGATTGAGAAGCATTCTAGAAGCTGTTGTCATATTGAATGAGGTTCTATGATCATTAGTGATCGTTGGCTTGCTTATAATGGGATACAATCACAAAGTTATAATTCATGAGAATAATTGTTGATTCACATGAATTTTTACTTCATACTCAAACAAAAGAGAATAACTGTCTTCAAGTAAAGCATTTCTCAGAGAAAACAATAAACGATAATATATAGATTTTAACTTGAATCATGTCTCCTGTTTTATGGCCTCGATTCTAGACTTTTACAATTAAGTTTATGTAGAAACTTGTTTCATGGTTTTAAATGGCTGAGATTCTCATATCAAGGCAAGATGCCATTTTTATTTTATGCAAAATTTATGATGTTCTGCTTTTTACATTACTTATGATAATGTAGAACCTTTAATAACACCGGCTTACTGCCATAAATTCATTGAAACACTGGTTCTCATATGATCACTAATCAAATTAAGCAATATTGAGACTGGTCAGTACCTAGATGTGTGACTGCTTGGGAATACCAGGTGCTGTAAGCTTGGATATATGAGTGGTGTAATGCATACTGGCACAGAATTGGAAATTGGAGAACCGAGTTCTAATTCTGGTTGGGATTGTTATATTCACTTACATGCAAAATACCCTTGGGAAAGGTATGAATTCACTTCTCTCCATCTATGGGTTAATTAATAAGACTTGTATCAGTATATGGTTATTATCTTCAAAGGAATTTTTACAATCTAAAAATATTTTCTGGCTTTAAATAAAATGGAAAAGTTGATAAGCTGTAAAAACAAAAAAAAAAAAAATCAATCATAAATTTAATAACACCAGCATTTTCATTATTTTCTTGTAAGTGGTCAGTTAGCTTTCATTGAATACTTTTCTCATTTTGCTCTCGTTTTTTCTTCAAAATTTCTAAATTGAATTCTCACTTGAACACTTGTTTCTTTTTTTATTTTCAGGGGATCTTTATGAAAAATACTGGCAACCAAAATGATGTGGAGAATGAAAGGAAAGAGAATTTTGATGATGAGGAAGAAGAGGATATTGATATCTTAACAGGTATATTTTAGATTATTATCATATAGTTTTCAAAATTACTCATTTATTTTAAATTTATATTGAAATTTGAAAGATTTTAAATGTTTTAATGTGCTTCTGTATTGATTAACCCACTGCAAGAATTGGCATATTTCAAATGCAGTTCTAAACTAAATATTCTTCCTATCATTTCTACAGGTTCTTTTTCTTTTATCACATATTACTGTTATCCAAGTTCAATGAAAAATTGATATATTTTAATTTTGAATTCTTATTTTACACTCCAATCCTACATATATCTTTGTATAATTATTTTATAGCTTACTTTTAAATGTTCAACTAAGTGTTTCATATTTATATCTTCACCTTTATTATTTGTGTGACATATATTTTTTTAAACCCAGAAAAGTGTATTCTTTTTATCAATATTCATTTTCATATTTTTCTTTTGTTCACCTTTAGAAATCTTAAAATGTTGTCCTAATCTTTGATTTGAAATAATATAGTTTTTAATTTTAAAAAATATTGGTGTCCATATACTAATATATGAAAGCAGTAACTGCCATTTGCTTATTCCTTATATTTATTTGAATTTTTTCAGAGAAGCTGTCAGAAAATATTGAACCCTTACAAGAAATCTGTAGGATCTCCCAGGGTTGTATTTTACTATTGGTGTTGAAGCAGCATTTAAAAGATTTATATGGCTTCACTGATACGTAAGCAATCTCTATCTTTTTCTTTTTTTTAAAGATTTATTCATGCTAATATAACTCTTCACAGTGCCAAAGAGAGTTAATTTTATCTCCTAATAGGTATGCTTTTATCAACTGAAAGTACATTTAATAAATATAATTGAAGTATTGTTGTTTGTTTATTTTTAAAAATATTTCCAATTGTAGGAAAATCTTTCCAAGCAAATTGCACTGCTGATTTTAATAAATTGTAATATATAAACTGGTTATCTTTTAACCTTTCTTTAGCTTTTTATGTTCAGTGAATTTACTTGCTTTTACTGTACTCAATAAAATCTGTCAAATCTTTTACATACTTAGGAAGTAAGATGAAAGGATGTAAAAGTTCACAGCAAAAACAAGGGCCACCTTGAATAAAATGGATGTAATTTGGAAATTTGATCTATCAAACAACCTCAAACTGTAGAGGCAGTGTTAATGTATGGCGTGAACTGCCTGAACATTAACTAAAATCCTAGAGTCTAAGCTTGATGGAACCTACATTTATATGCTAAGAGCTATACTTAACATCTCTTGGAGACTACATCCAACTAAATGACAGTGCCATAGGCCTATCCTTGATATTTCTATAATCTTATGCAAATGTAGAATGTACTTTGCAGGACACTGCTGGTGAGCAAAACAAGAACTAGTGAGTTAACCTACTGTTCTAGACATTTAGTCATAGAGCAAGATGGGTTGGTCATCCAGCAACCATTTACATTGACCAGCTAAGTTATGACACAGAATGAGGCTAGAAACTGCTGAAACATTGTGATAACAACAAAAAATGTAAATAATATAAATACTGATAATTCCTCACCCCAGAAATTATTTCTTGTGTTGTTGTTTGCAGATAATAAGTACATTTTATATTTATGATATTATTATGGAAGATCTGGTGTGTATATGCTGGGGAAAATAACTGAAAATTATATCAGCTGAAGCTTCATAAGGCCATCTCTCCAGGTAGTACCTCTCCTCCGGGCTTCAGGTCATTCATTATTCAGTGCCTGACATGCCACAAAAGAGGGAAGTGCTGAGGAGGTTCAAACAATTTTTGTACAGCTTTTCAGAAATCATACATTAAACTCCAACCTTATGTCATATTCTGTTATGATGTGAATGTGTGGATGAATACCTACAAAATGTAGTTGCCAGCACAAAAAAAAAAAACCCCAACAATATCACTGATTTTGACAGAGAAAATGAACGTGATTTGGTTGGGTGGAGGTTGGGGCGAATCTGCATGTGTGTCCAGTCAGCAATTCATTGGATGAAAATTTGGTTCACAGGCATCATGTAATTAGATATTTGAGAATATTAGTACCAAAAAGAAAAAAAAATCAATGTTATTACTACCATAATATAACGAGTTACTTGCCCTTAGTTTTAATTCATGAAAATTTGGTTCACAGACATGTAATAGATATTTTAGGAACATGCTATATTATTTATACTATTTATGGGATAGTGAATTGAAGTGTTAGTTTGTGAATTTGGTAACATAGTAATTGTGAGTTCAATGCCTTGGCTAGACAGTGTGTACTTGGACTCAGTGGAAATGGGTGAGCAATAACTGAGCAGTAGTAAAAATAAGAACTCAAACGAGATATCCCTTAAATATGGGCAGTAGAATGAAAATAGTCTACCATTGTTGATTAAATGAAGGGTTTAGTTTAGAATTTCCTGTAAGTTACCCAAATTGATATACACTTGATAAAGGCTGGAGGGCACAATGTTGTGATGATAGCAACAGAGATGAGGACAATAGTCTGAATGTAAATAGTGTAAATAATTATAAATCCTCATTGCAGAAATTCAGACACAAATTATGTTATATTAGTACTAAAATGAAAAAAAAATAATCATGGTGTTATTAGTGCCATAATATACAGAGTTACTTGACCTTGGTTTTAGTCATTCATTCTTTCGATCATTCTCAATAGTAGTGTGCTATATTGCTTTGGAAATCATAAATGTATCACCAATGTTACATACAATGATAAATGTATTTAAACTATTTTTAATTTTTATTCATTTTTCTATAAAAGGTTTTTAAGTTTCTCATAGCCAACATGAGCTTACATTTATATAAAAATATTTTAATTTTCAAATGAATTTAAGTGTGGTAAAAATATTTAATTATATGTTGTGTATGGAAATCATTGTTTCCCATATTGTTATATTAAAAAAGAGAAAACATTGGCTATTGAAAGTGGAGTGCAATAATTGTTTTTTATTTGTAATATTTTATGCAAAGGAATTTTTAAAATGTTTAGGTTTGTGTCTATGATACTTTTTGTAAAATTGCTATTACAGATTTACTAACATATTTACATATTAATATGTATAGTAGTAGCATCCATAAAACACTTTAAAAGATTTTAAGAAAATACTTTTAAGAGTGAATTACTGTAATCCCACAATTTTTGAAAATTTTAGGAGGATTATTTGTAATTGTTTTGATGTAAACAATGAAATCATTTTTGTTTTTCAACTTTTATATTGATTTCAAAAATTACATTTTTTCCAGGTAATACTACTAATTATTTATAATTAATGATTAGGATTAATGAAATTGTTTTGATTTTGAATTTACAAAAAGCTAAAAAGAACTTCAAAAAGGAACACATTTAATTGCATTTGTAAAATTTTACATAATTCCTCACCTTTTTTTTTGTTTTTCTTGTCTTTGAAATTTTAATTGATTTTCTCTCTAAATATTATTTTTCTTCAAAACTCTTTAGCAAAATCTACCGGTATTCACCAACAGAAGCAGCTAAAGTCTATGACAAAGTTTTGTCAAGAAAATTTAATGTTGAATTCACACCAACATCCACAATTGAGTTATTAAAGAAGGGGCCACCTAAAAGTGATGACCAAGAAGCAAGAAAAAAACTTGTTGAAGAATATTTGGATGTAAGTTTAATTTTGTTTTGTTTCTTGCCTTAATTTATTTCCACATTTTATATTCATTTCCACATCTTTCTTGTTCTTTTACCCTGTACTGTTTACAAAAAATCAGGAAAAGAATTTCTTCTAATTGTTTTTATTAGAATAGTAACAAGTATGTGACTACCCAAGAAAATGAGTGAAATGAAAAGGATAATCATATAGCAATTTTGTTATGGGATTTTCTCATGAATTTGTTGATGGTTTTTTTTTTATATATTGTGTATAATCACTCTGTAAATTTTCTTTACTTTTCAGTTCAAGCATTTAATGTTGAGTATCGATCCTCCAGATGACAATGATTCAGATGATAACAAGAGTACCGGTAGAGCCTCACCAACTCCTAAAAAACAAGGAGAGGAAGGAACTGATAAATCTATAGAAATTGTGGATAAAGATGGAAGTGATGCTGTCAAATCAAAGGTGAAAAAACATTTATTATGATTTCAAATATGATTTTACTTTTTTTAATGCAAACAAGAATATATATTAAAATTATTAGACAATGTTTCAGTCTGCAGTTTCGTATTAGAATAAACTGAAATATTGTTGCAATGAGAAATTAAATTTGCTAAAGTCTTTAAAATGCACTGAAACTTATAGTATGAAATTAGCTTAACATTCATTGTATCATGTCAAAATAGAATAACTATGATTGAGTAACTATTATAAAGACTATAACAGTTAAAGTACTTTTTAAAATTTTTGTTTTTAAGAGAATTGAAACAAAAAACTCAGAAATATCTGGGAGTGTTGTGTATATCTTGGAAGATGTAAAAAAAGAGTGAAAATGTTTAATTAACAGGAGAAAATAATGGTTGAACTAATCTCTTGATTATAGGATAACTTGAATAATATTGGAACAGTGGTCAAAGTCCTGTTGATTTATTTTAACAAGAGTTATTATGGAGAGATAAGAGCTACCAATTTTTATTTTATATTAATTTGTGTACTTGAAATTCACTCACATTGAGTGGAAATGATTTCAGTTGTTTATTTTTTATTGTTATACTCATTATGTGTGTGTGTGTGTGTGTGTGTGTGTGTGTGTGTGTGTGTGTGTGTGTGCTCTGCAGAGAGCTAAATGTGCATCTACTAGATGTCAAAGTGTAGTGGCTTGCAACCTGTTAAGATTGTTTAAAAATTTACAAGCAGTGGTGGAATATATATTCCACTATCTGAATATTAATTTCAAGAGCAACACCATGGTTGAATATTGTTTAACATTTATCACGCTTTATGTGACTTCATTTGCTGTACAAAAAGTTTATCCTGCAACTGAAGGTGACTGATCGCTGAATTTGAATTTCATAGATATGTTGTCCTATCCTTCTATAGCAACAGAAAACAACTTTGAGTGAAATTAATAATAAGGATAATGTATTTGAGAGGCCTTGAAAAAGACTGCAGTGGAAAGGGAAGTAATATTAATAATGCAGAATGCTAAAGGTTAATCAACAAAACCTAGAAAAATTTAATATACCTCACAAAAAATGGTGTGTTAAAAGGACATTTTTGTCTTTTGATACTGGCTATTACTGTATACTTGGCATATTTTTTAACCTTGTAAATACGAAATTATTTTTGTAAATAAACAGTCTAATAAATAAATAGTGTTTAACACTTTTGTTGTTAATTCTCAAGATAAAAGAAAATGTATAAATCCAGTTTCATATGTTTGAGTTTTATTAAAACAATAAAAATTGTCAAGGGAGCATACCAAGAGTGGCCAAACTTGCTTAATATAAGAGCCGCATACAATAGAGTTCAGATGTTTGAGAGCTGTAAGACATGAACAAAATTTAATCATACGTTTTTGATAAATACACATTAAAATTAAACTTACTTTTTAATGCAATGGGGTCTCAATTCATACCCAATAAATAATTATAAAGCCTGGAATTTTTCTTATTTACCTTTGATGAAAAAAGGAGCTCAGCCAACATATTTCCACAAACCGCTTATTAAAAGTTAAAGAGATGCATGTGGTTTGCAAGCTGTGGTTTGAATACCCCTGCAACATACACTAATAGTGGTGTTAAAAGAAAGTGTCTCCTTGATATTTTTAAAAAAAAATTTTTAATTTTATTTTTAATTTATTTATTTTTATTTTTTATTTTTTTATTTTTTTTTTTGGTGGGCATATTTATTAAACTTTATCCCAAACCCATTTTGATATTGATTAAATTTCTTCCTCTCTAATTAAATACATACACACAGTTGTCTTTAGATTTTTGAGTGTGCAAAATTAACCACTGTTGTGAAAATTATTTTGGATTCCATAAAAACTATTGGTTTGTTATATATTTTGAATTATTCAGAATAATGTTGTTAATGATGATGTATGATGCAGTTTTTGTGAAAACAAAAAGACCATCATTGAATGCCGATTATATTTTGAAAATGCTGACCAAAAAATTACAAATTTTATTGAATGTAAAATGTGTGATTTATTCAGTAAGGAAGTAACAGTTAAAACTTGTGTTGACGAAAAAGATAGTATTTAAAAAAAAATACAAAATAAAAAAATAATCATTTAATGTCACAAAATTTATAATCATTATTTTTCCATTTTATTATAATTATTATTTTAAATGATCTTTGCTTTTCAAATTATGATGCCATTTTATTTTGGATGAAAATCCCTTAATGGATTGTAGTTGTTTTTATTATCAGTAAGCATTTTAATTGTGCAATTCTTCATCTTTTTCAGTCTTCTCACACACCTCATCAAACCACAAGAGCCCATAAGTATGCTGTATTGTTGGAAAAGAAGAAGAGAGTGCGAATGACACCGAAACCAAAGCCAACTCCTCCACCAAAGAAGAAAGTGACAAAGAAGAAACGTAAGCGAAGAATGAGTGACAGTGAAGAGGACAGTGACAGTGAGGATGACCCTGATTTTGTGGCTTGAAAAATTATTCAGATGGTAGCAGGTGACTGATTCCTGCTTCATTTGTTGGTTTTTATTTTTCATGTTTCTCTCTCAGAGACAGTTTCTGGGAGTGAAAAAAAAAAAAAGGACAAAATAAAACATTTTAAACATCTGAATGATGAAAAGAAAGACTGAAAAATTGAAGGAAATTGGAAAAGGAGAAAAGCAAAAATGAAAGAAGAGGAAATCAAATGCCCACCTCATGTCCACACACTCACACACACAAACGCACACACATACACACACAAAAGTTTTTAGACATTATGAAAGCTTACAAAAAAAGTTAAAGAAAGAAATTGATTTTGAACTCAAAGCAAAAACATTTGCAAACAAAAACAAAAAAGCTAGTAAACAAAAAGCATCCTCAAAGAAGTAAGGATAAAAGCAGGAGGGTCATAGAAAAAAAAAAAAAGGAAAGTACATTAGGAGAGTCAGAGGAGCAAGAAGATATAGAACTCTTCAGGTAATGGCAGATTCCAGGACTGCTGCTGTTGTTGCTGCCGCTGCTGCTGCCAATTGTATAAACATTACAGTTATTACCGGCACCACTAATGGAACTTGAAAGCGAAACAGGAAAAAAAAAAAAAAAAAAAAAAAAGGCAAAAATGCAGACTTTTACTTATTATTAATATTTTTATTATTGTTTTTTTTCCTTCCTTCACCTGACAAATCAGTCTAGAGTTATAAAAAAAAAAAAAAAAAGACACAAAACCAAAAATATTGATTCTTTAAGTTTTCAAATAAAACATTGCATCTATAATTATAAAAAAAATTGTGCTAAAATATTAGACACAAATAGCACATAAACACCAAATAATTTTTTCTTGAATTTTAAAAAAAAAAATTTTTATTTTTTAAAAAGAAGTCGTAAATTTTTAAACTATAAAAGAAAACACAAAAATAGCATTAAAAAAAAAAACAAAAAAGAAAAGACAAAAAAACAAAACAACCCCCCCACAAAACCAATTAACCAAAAAGACTATTTTAAAATGTGCGTGTGTGTTGTGACTGGGCAATAGGGCAGATATGACTTTCAGAAAACAATTAAAAACATTACCAAAATTGAAATATTGATGATGAAAACTTATGGAACATAATGACATTTCATGGAAAATGCCAAACAAATTTAATAAGATAATGAGGAGAAGAGGTGAAGATTACAAAAAGAAAAGATGAACAAATGGAGGTGAAGGCGAGAAGAAAGGAGAGTGATGATGAAGGAAAGAGTATGGTCTGAGTTGGCCAGTTTGGAGAAGGAGGAGGAAAAAGAGACACAGAAAAACAGCCCCAAATCTCATAGTTACATCAATTCATTTTGCATTTCATCAGTCATCAAGTTGTAAAGTTTCATCCACTTTGTCATTTGTAAAGTTCTATGTATTTATTTGTGAATATGTTCATTTTTTTTATAGTCACTTGCAGCACATTATCAGAAAAGTGAATTGGAAAAAGAATAAAAATATAAAATTAAGGGAAAGCAACCAAAAAAGGGAAGGATATCAACAGTTCCCTTCATACATACATACACACATGCACACACGTAAAGAAGAAAAAAAAATGACAAAAAGCAAATAACAAAGGAAATAGGGGAGAAAACTTACTCTGTTGGAAAATAAGCAAAACGCCTACAAAGAAGAAGAAGAACAACAAGAAAGGAAATAAGAATGAAAAATAATCCCCCCCCCAAAAAAAAAAATACATGCAAAAAAAATAAGCATACAGGGCTGGGGGCAGAATAATGTTTTACATGCTGTAAATGTTAAAATTAAATTTTCATACTGTATAGTTTAATGAATTGGGGGGGAAAAAAATCAAAGAAAAAAAAAAAAAAGCAGCCCCCATCCCTCTCAAGTACTCCCCACAAAAAATAAAAACAATTTGAAGAATTCAAATTAGTATTAATTTGTAACAAATAAAAATTTTAAAGAAAAAAAATTGAAATTTGTTTTTTATATCTCATGTATTGACTAAATGTTATTTCTCTCTCTCTCTCATACTTCTCTCTTTTTCTTTCTTTATTGAATAGAATGATTTTTCTTTCTTTTATATTAAAGTGAAAAGAATGTCTGGAATCTTAAACTTTCTTTGGAAATCACAGATGCTCTCTGATGGTCTGACTTGCCAAAATGATGTAAGCATGAAGATGTTGGAAGTTCAATTTACACTTCTACCAAGGAAGATGTGATCCTGTTTATATGCACACATGAAGTATTTTTTTTTTTTTTTTTTTATAGATAGGCTCACTCGTCATTTTAATGTAATGTTTGTATGTCTACCAACACAGTTGTTTTTTCCCTAGGAGAAACCATTTCTCAACATATTCCCCTATTTCATTAGAGATACTCTGACTTTTTAATTATACAAACATACAGATTTTTTTATATGAAAGGATAGACTGACTAATGATTTCAGTGTAAACTTTGTGTATTTTCCAACATACTTGTTTTCCTCAGGTCGTATGCTTTTTGTGATTATTGCATCAGTTTCTAGGTGCATTAGTATATATGTCTTTTTTTTTTTACTTAGATTGTTTAGAATATTTTTTATAATAAATTTTCACATTCCCTGTTAGCATAAACTAAAAACCAAATATATCGTTGGAAATGCTGTGAAGACTTGCCCATTTTCTCAAGTGGAGAAACGCGTATTTAACTTTTTATTGATTTTTCTTTTACAAATATAAGGAGTATCTTATAGTAACAACCTTTAGTTGGAAGTTTACAGAAAATCACCAACAAGAATGACTATCAATTTTTATTCCCACGACTGTAACAGGATAAAATCTGGAATATATATATATATATATATATATACACACACACACACACACATACATACATATATCATATGCTGAATACAACTGGAGAGTCCACTACACACACACATCATATGCTGAATACGACTGGAGAGTCCACCATACACACATACACATATATAGTGGACTCTCCAGTCATATTCGGCGTATGAGGATCAAGCAGCTCAGTTCCTAGGAACCAAGAGCCAGACACCTGCACATAATGATTTGATTATAGTGGTGAAGGGTTTGTGCAGAACCAACCACACATTTTGAAGAGCTGAATACAGAGACCTGGTGCACTACGCGCCACAAGGCCCCCAAACAACCCTCCGCAGGTTTTGAATTCTGAGTTGTCCTTCTCCTCCTAGACCTGTTGCCATCCAAGTGAATGTAATGGATTTGACTGGAAATCGAACTCGGCTCTCCAATTCCTCAATCCAAGCTGCTATCCATCATCATTCCTTATATATATATATATATATATATATATATTATAAAATTTTTGAATGCTACATAAGTCTTAGATATTGAATAATTTTTGTTTTCATTTGTTCTGATTAAACAATTAAATAAATAATTAGATATGGATCAATTGTGAATATATATATATATATATATATATATATTTAGGTAGCATATCTTCATTCAAGCATGTTTGGTTGAATAATCTATATATGTCTATTTTAATCATCTCAAATTCACAGATCAATTTCTTAGTGCTGTTACAAAACTGATTAAGAAATATGCCATAGTTTTAGTTATTTCTTTTATTTTCTTAAGATAATCCTCAGGGGTGAATTGCTAAGACAAAAAAATTGATAGTTGTGAATTTGTTTTGTAAATGTGCATAAAACATTTTGTTAGAGTCAACATTAAGAAAAATGTAAGGGAGGTAACTTAAATTATAATTTTGTTAATGTTTTTAAAATACTCAACCTGCAATTTAAAAAAAAAAATATTTTGTTTTATTTTTTGCAATTTAAGCATCCCAAAATATTGACTTTATAGACATATTAAAACATTGTTGCTATACTCATAATTAATTCCATTTATTGTCAGTTACATTTTTTTTTATATCAAGAATTTGAAGTTTTTGTTTTTTATTTTTATGGTGAAACATGCTTGTATTGGCAATTAATAGTTTCTGTCTTAGCAATTCACCCCTGAAAATCTTGGATGAGTTTGAAAGTACTTGGAAAAATAAAAGAAATAACCAAAACTACGGTGTCTTTCTTAATCAGTTTTGTAACAGCACTAAGAAATTGATCCGTGAATTTGAGAGGATTAAAATAAAAATAGATATAATTTGCCTTGATTATTCAACCAAACATACTTGAATCAATTGTAAAGAAAACTGCTTTACATATCAGATGAAGTTTTTTTTCAGTTCTACTTGTCTCCCCTTAATGTTATTTAGTGCTGATGACATTGAGAAAAGCATAAACCTGAAAACTCTGCAAGCATGCATGACCTCATTGAAAGAGATGCTGTCAAGAATTCAGAAGACAACACTTTCTCAGAAACTATATATCATTGATGAACATGACCATTCAAATGAGGATATTAGTTCAAATATAATTAATGTAAATAGTGATAACTCCTCATTCCAGAAATTCAGTTAGAAAAGAAGAGATGGATATGTACCGTTCCAAAGAACTGTAATGGACATGTCTGGAATTTGAACTTGGCACAACGATTTCCCATTCTATGTCATTATCCATTACATCACTTGTGCATCCATGATATGACATAAAACACTTTTCTTTAATAAAGAAATACTGTATATATTTGTGTATCATGCGACTTTTGAAGCTAATTTTAAGGGGCTTGCATCATACACAAGATAAAAAAATTAGTGTATGTACTATTGGTCCTGGCTACGCTGTTGACAAAAACTACATATCCAACTTACTGTAGTCAAAAATTACAGATGTATTTAAAATAAATATGATTTTGATAAAACTATTGTTTTACTTAACTGCATGTAATATTAATGCATCTAATATTCACATATTAGTATCGTTATTATAAAATACAAACATAGCAAATATGCATCTTTTCCATTGTTTACGATTATGAGATGTTTAGCTGTTTCTTGTTTAGTTGTTTATGGCTGTACACGTTTATGCAACAAGTATAGCGTTACTAATGATACGTCTATCATTCCTTTTACTTTTTTTAA